ATTTATCAGCTTTATGTCAAAAGAGTTGCCTTTTTAGAGAAAAATTTGCAATCCTCGACCTCTGTCAAGCGGATTAGCTATGAAGTTTTTAGCGGCTATTTTTCAAGCAATTGCTGTTATAAGTTCAAAATCTTGCCTGGGCGTTTTTTGGCTTGACGTAAGAAAATCTCCATGTAACAAGTGTACAATTCAGAAAAGTCGTAACACTGTCCCACTTTTTGATTGATTCTTCTACGAAACAAAAACTTGCCTTACCTTTTGGAATCTACTAAGCAAAAGCTATTTTAACAATCAAAACCCTCTGTTTAAAACCACCAATACGCTAAGTTTCTCTACAAACTACAATCCAGAACTTAAAAACTTGTATAAGAAAAAGTTGCATTCATTCCGAAAGGAATTATCTTCGTAGCACCAAAATTAACGAGAGTTATTTATGCTTAAACTCGAGAGGAGAATGAAAATTTTGCTGTGTGCTTTCTTGATGCGCTAGGCTTATATTCTAGCCTAACATTGTTTGCTTATTCAAAGATTAATGATCACGTGTTTACAGATGGATTTCACTATGTATTCAACCATGACCCGTCCTTACACGAAGGTGTACTGTTTAAATAGTTACGATGCAGAACAAGGTGTTGTTGGTCAATAATGGTGATTCATGATGGCGCGATACTCGAAACTAAAAGGAAGAACTGTTTTGCAGAGAATAGCACATGAATAAGCCATATTGTCATTTGTCCGAAATAGCTGCAATGTAGTGTACAGAAGAATACCATATTTTCAAAAACAGCAAAAAAATCTACGTCAAAATCAGGGGAAAATGAGTAAAAAGAACAGAGAACCACACAAAGCATAGATGAAGAAGCTAAACTGCGCGACGAACGCCAACTTTATCGGTCAATCAGATTTTCGTTCCCCTCTTTTCCAGCTTTTCTCAGTCCGTCTCAGGCGCGACTTCGCTGAAGGTTGTGCTTTTCAAGCGAAAGACGCGGTTTGCAGAGAAACTACAGCCATAAAGCTGCTATTCGCTAATTTGTGAACAGGAGCGATACTTGTAAACAAGGTGACTGCAAAAAAGCATTGAATTTCAAGCAACTACGTCACTTCATACGGACCGTACCTAGAGGTGAGCTAAAAGGGCAATAATGTGCGTAACTTGTCAAATTTTGATTGATCCAGCACTGAGCTGAAAACGGCTTTGTACAGCCAAGTTTGCCCTTTACACGCACGGTTTCTTATTGTTATCAAAATAAAGGCTTAACGGCTTATAATTTCATCCACAAAAGCGTTCTGCGGATATGGAAGATAGATTTAGAGCCAGCGTTTTATGCTGCATCTAATAATTTATAGCTTGCTTGGATCGGTCACTTCGATTTCTGACTATTCCGTTGTAAGAGTTATTTGACCCATATCAGAGGTTGTTTTGACAATTTTGAGAGCTCGAGTCAAATAAAGGTACAGAGTTTGTTCAGCCCTTATTAGATTTAACTCAGGTTTTGGAGGGGCTTATTTATTGTTTATTATCTTCATCTACATTCACTACTGGTGCTTTTATTACTACACAGATATCAAGTTTCGTCAGGGATTAGCAACACGGTCATATCCAAATTCTCAATAAAGATCCATAGGTATTATCCATACATGAATCTTGTTAATTTTTCTCTTCCTCTAGAAAACTCTAGGAACTCCGGCAAAATATCATTTTTGGGCGATACAGACAGGGCTCGGCAAGAGGTGGCAACGGCGAAATTTTAAAACTAAGCTCCGTTCGATTTTGAAAGTTTCGTACGAAGTCCCGTTTGACCTGTTTTGAAGACCCGTCATGATTTTCATATTTTGTAAAAGTATGTAGTAGAGTTTTCATGCATGCTAAATTCATAGAACAACTCTCCACAGTTTTCTGAGCTTTTCAAGTGATTCAATCATATTTCAAGAAGCAGAAAAAGCGATTTTTCGACTGCTGTGCAGACCGAGTAATTTTCAGATGGCAATGCTGAAAAGAAAACTGTAATTGTTTCTTTACTGTATGTATAACTTTTACAGTGTAGATACATTTTATGTAAAAAAGTAAGGAAACTTATGTGAGCAAACTGTCGGTGCCAGCTCAGCTGACACTTATGTGAATGAAAGCTATGCTGAACTTTTTTCTGAATTAGCTGGCACTGTGCCAGGTGCCAGCTAATTCAGAGAAAAGTTCAGCATAGCTTTCATTCACATAAGTTCAGCATAACTTTCATTCACATAAGTTTTCATAAATTCTTGGGCCATAATTCGGGTACCCCACCGCGCATGCACTTACCAAATTTGGTGTCATACTATTGCATTTTGGCTGAAAACAATGCCTTTGTTTGTTTGATGTACGGCATGCCGGTGGCGTGCCGGTGGCATTGCGGCTCTTCTCCGCCCCGGATACCAAAAAAACGATATCCCCTTTGCTTTCCCCCCTAAAAACGATATCCAGCTTGACCCAGTGCCAGCTGCGCCGAGCCCTGAATACAGAATAAGGACAACGTCTACCCATCGGCTTCGCTTTTACTGACATTAGTTACAGTAATATAATGGCCATTTACCTACTACATCATTCGTTTTTGTCTTTATTTTTTATTTATTCTTTATATTCGTCTTGTTATTTGTCTTCATTTTTTATTTTTTGCATGATTTTCAAAAAAATTTTATTCTTGTTTTCAATCCGTTTGAATGTTCACTGATTTTAGGGAGCAAGCTTACAAGCACCGGAATTCCAACTTTCCATAATGCAAGCTAGATATCTGAAAAATTGAATCGGAAGGAGCTGGCTGAAAATTCGCTATAATTAATTCTGAAAAGACTAAAAAATTGAATTCTTCATATGTGAACTATGTATATCGGAAAGCTACAACCAGAAGAGAATAAAGAAAATCTTTTCTGGGGAATATAAAGCGTTTCTCCGAAAAAAATGATAATCCTAAACAATACGTCAGCACATACAGCAAAGAGTCCTAAATCTTCGCATTTGAATTTGGATGCTTCTGTACATCGCCAGGAGGACATTTGTATTAGGGTAAATAGAATTTTGTCGGCACAGAACCAGTCATATCTCTTTAGTTAAAATCTGCGCACATCATCTCAGACCACACATTTTAAAAAACATTTTCTATTTACATTTGTCCGTGGCAACTGTAGGAATTATCTGTTTACAGAAATTTCTGGTCGTAACAATGAAAGCATATTGTTGAACTTGCTTACTTTCATTATATTACCACATGTTTTACCGAAAACATATTAGCCATCGGCTACATTGAGCCTTTCCAAGCGAATAGTGGAATGTTCATTTCAACCCTGTAGGTACATCTGCTTTCTATTCCATATTTATACATGTACAATACCGCTCACATAACGTGCAAAATTCCCGTGATTCCCGCGGAAATCCGCGACGTTCACGGCAGTTTTGCACGTTATGTGAGCGGTATTGTATCTGACTGATAAACTAATAAAAAAAACTTTTTTTCGCTGCTGCTAGCAGATGACCGCTAGAAACACTGTGTAAATTTTTTCGTCCAAAGCTTTATGCCGATCCAAAAGCTTCTATAGGGTTATGCCGATATCGCCGAGAATTGCACCTTTTAATGTCATAGCTGTACCATTGCTGTATTTTTTCCTTGGCTAGAATTTGAGAAAACAAAATTTTCATGCTCTTGCCAAATTGATGCTGTGCTGTTTTTACATAAGTAATTGTATACTACAAGCCTCTAAAAGTTCAACCCACGTTACAATTCATATTTCTCGAGGAAAACTTACAGAGAGCTGAAATTTACGTTTGAACTTCAATATGCTTGTAGTATATAATTATTTATGTGGGAACAGCACAGCATCTTTTTTGGCAAGAGCATGAAAATATTCGTGCCCTTAGAGCCAAGGAAAAGTACAGCAATGGTATGCATGGTGTCTTAAAAAGATGTTAACACTGTTTGACAGTTAATAACTCTCTTGTTTTCATGTCTTTCGCCGAGCTCTAGGTACCATTCGGTGGAACGAGTTTCAGCTTAACGGCATAGACCGAATCATCAATCACTCTCCATTAATAGGTTTGCGGTATGGACTTTCAACATAATAGTGAAAAAAAGCCAAAAAATCTGGAAATATGTGTGGCAAGGTTTTCAAGCGTGCTGATTTCATTACACAACATTTTACAGTTCTTTTTAGCTTTCTAAGGGTGTAATCACACTTCTGACGTACATAGGAAAAAGTGTTACACTAAACCTTAAATAACTTATGAAAGAAGCATTGCAGTGAAGTGCAAATTTCACATTTAGAATCAGCGATTTCGATTAGTTCAGTGCAAGAGTTTCTGGATTGTATGGTTATCCTTTCGAGGCAAAAATCGCTTTCAATGTCCTAAAATCAAGAGTTTCTGGCTTGTATGGCTATCCTTTCGAAGCAAAAATCGCTTTCAATGTCCTAAAATCCTTGTCGAAGTCCATACATATTTCTACACTAAAAAAGAGTAGTTGATATATGGTCCACAATGTGGATCCAAGCTGTACCTCGCTTTACAAAATGGCACCTCAAACTCGGCGAAAAACGTGAAAGCAAGAAAGTTATTAACTATCAAACAATGTTCACATCTTTTTTGGAACACCCTGTATATGAATGTCTCATGTTTTGTGTATTTTTTTGGGCGAAGTGACGATCTTTTATCGTTTCGAGCATTTAAATTTTGACTTCTGGCTTCAAACTCGCGGTGGATTGAAGCTGGTGCAAAAGCAAGAACCCATCTTGTAGAGTTTGCTTTGCTCTATCAAATGGTGATTCGAAGCCTGTTCAGAATTGAAAAGTGTATGAGTCAATGTAAGGATAAAATACAAAGCGGACGGAACTTCTGGGACAGCCCGATATATCCGAATATCAAATCAACAACGAGAGTCCATCCACGATCAAAATGAATTATCACGTCAACCTCGTTATCTTTCCTGTTGATTTTTCCAAGGTGTGCCATTCATTTCATCACACTCACTCCGATGGTTCAGGGATGCCGGAGGATCTGGCAGTTGACAGAACCGTTAATACATCGAGTATTGAAAAGGAAGAACTGATAGCGAAGGTACGCAGAACATAATCAAAACCTTTTGAATTGGCCATCAACCGAATTAGTAATTTTATTTATTTCAGAGAAAAAGCAAGAAGGAGAAAGAGAGAAAGGTAACCAGAAAAAAAGTGAGCGAATCGGCATCCTAATGTACCGGCCTTCATTCGATGTTTTTATAGCGTGGTTTTCTAAGAAAAGGAGAGGATATTCTAGATGTATCCATTCACGCTAAGGTTTGCGCATTTTTTCGAGCTGGAAAATTATTTGGGAAAAAATATCGTAGGGTGGGAAAATTGAACGTGGTCCTAATGCACACGACGACAGCGACAACCGTTTTGTATGGTGTTCAGCTTTGCTAAAGATGTCGGTATGTTAATCTTAGCGATGAGGCTACGCCTGTGCCCGTATCAGAACCGTGCTAGCGCCGTGCCTGCGCGGTCGATCAATAAAGGACACGCTCACATGAGCATGGCAGGGCGCTGGCACGGGCTACTCTGGACGCAGCCTGAAGGATGAATAAGCAAGCTTTGAAGGGTCGCTGCTTTTTCTTTTCAAGTTCGTTGAAGAAAATCCTTCAGATTAAAAGTCTGTGGCTTGAATTCCGTGGATGCCGTAATTACAAACCACCGAAATACACATGTGATGAGTACGAGAAGAAGAGAAATGATATAAAAAATAGGTGCGGTCCTAAATTGTAAATAAAAGAATCACGCGACTAATTTAGGTACAACGACATCATCTGTATGGACGCCACGAGGGTAAAGTTGAAAGCTCGCAATCCAAAAGATGACTATATTCACGCTAATTGGATAATAATGCCTGACAATCAAAAGTACATCTGTACTCAGGTTTGCTACGCAGAAAATAGATATGTCATTTCATTGGTGTCATGAATGCAATCTCAAGGGCCCAGTTGCTGAATCCGTAGAAGACTTTTGGCACATGATTTTTACCGAAAGGAGCAATGTGGTTGTGATGCTTTGTAATTTTGTTGAGGGTGAGAAAGAGTAGAATGAGTGAAAATATTTCCACTCTTTTGACCTGCTATTCAGGAACTCATGAAAAATGCTACCAGTACTTTGCGAACGAGCTCAACGAATGTACGGTATTTGGTATATATTCTGTCACTGTCAGAGAGTTTTATGAGGATGATCCAACGGGAACATTACAGCATAAATTGATCGAAGTCGAGGTCTTGTGAGTGCTATTTCATGCGATGCCCCACTTCACACCTGAAACTGACTCACCGATAAAGATGCATTTACAGTCCCCCTGCCGTTGTAGTGCTAACGTCGCGCCGAAACTTCGACGAATTGATATAGAGCCCTCCAATGTGGGTTCCGCAGTGCGCTACGGTGGCACAGCACTGGAACGACGGCGGCACAGCGTCGGCATTCGGACGGCTGTGCACGCTGCCTGATGATAAAAGCTCGGTTCCATCTCGGCGTAATCATGAATTACGAGCAAATTATGACATACAGTGATCATCATTAACAGTTTTTGTGACAGGACTCATATATAGCAGCTTCATTTGCGAAATCACCCAAACATGTCTCAAAATAAGTGTTTAAGGAGCTAGATAAGTTCTCACCTTATACTGCGCTCCCAGAAAACGCTGCAGTTTAGAGGAGACAGCAATCATCCGTTATTCTTGACATCCCGCTAGTATGATAGTAGAGTCATTGCTGACATATAAGTTTTGGAACTACGCACTTGCTCTCTAATCTATCAGATTGGCTAATCAACAAGTTCGGTCGCTTTTGCGACTCTCACAAATGCTGCAGATAAATTGTTGTCCAGTGTTTGGTAACCTTAGTCAATGGGAAGTGAAGTATACTCTTTTAAGTAGAACTTATCTTCCAAGCAAAAGATCCACAAAGTGGTAAGAAACCCCAATTTTCTGACAGTGCGCAAGTATGAAGATATTTGGTTTCTTCGATAAAATTTTCAAAGTGGCAGATCATGGTTTTCACTGTTATTCACTAATTAGAAAAAACTCCTCTGTATCCAAATACCAAAATGCTGTTCTCTAAATCCATTACAGTACGAAAAGGAACCTTAGAAAGTCAAAGAATTGAGCTTTTAGAAATTCAGACATGTTGAGGCATGACTGTCTTTACTGATGATAGAAAATCTTGAATTTGATATGTCATAGAGGAAGCATTCAACTACTTTCCCACAAAAAATCATGGATAGAAAACAACAAGAAAAATTTCTATGAAGATTTGCATGCCAAAACGGACTTAATTCCCAAACTAATCTAATCGTTGGACGACATCTTCAATGCTTGAGACGACCTCTAAACAAGCATCTCTCAAATAAAACAAATTTTTGTGCGAAAAAGAATTTGTATTCGGGATTCGAGAATATTCTGGCAAATTCCGAGGACAACAAAATGCTTGTGCAAACGTTGGCTAAAATATGATATTTCTGAGCGCTTATAGCTTGCAAATTAACCATTATCAGTCCCTCCTATTTTTGCGGCTGTGTGCTTTTCTAGATAGGATTAAGCGAGCATTGATCCAGATTTACTCAGAGGCAAGATCTTGCAAGTGCATCATATTGCAATCTTGGATTGGCCCGACCACATAGCCCCAATCAGTCCACTAGCTGTCGTGACTATGTTGAAGCTGGCTCGAATGCTATGTGAGGGAAGACCGATCACAGTCCACTGTTCTGCTGGCATTGGGAGGACAGGCGCTTTCGTAGGTTCGGCATAAAACATGAGCATCATCATTCACTGCTTCAATAATGCTTTGTGCAGGAATCGACTACGGTAGCCAAAAAATTAGAAAGGACGGCAAGACGACAATGACAAGTGTTCTCAAAGACCTAAGACATCAACGGCTACAGGCAATACAATCACCAATACAATACACCTTTCTTTATATTTGCATTCTTGAGATGTTTGTGCAGGTCAGCCTCGCCACCTTGCTTCTTGATGATGGTCCAAAGTTTTTCAGGAAGGCGTAGTGGCACGTGAAGGAGCTGTTCTCGACTACTATGAAGCCTACGAGAACATGATCAAAAAATACCAAAAAACGTATAAGGAGAAGCAAGCAGACGGCTAGGCTCAAATGCTAAGGTGTCATGTGTTAAATACTGTTGTCTTCTTAATTATCTACAACTTAATATATTAAAGTTTATTCCCAATGCAAAGATGACAATACCCCTTAATACAGTCAGAACGGATCACAGCGACAGGCATAATGTAGCCATTGAGTGGACTGAAAATATAATTTTTAAATTGGCAACGGCAGTTCCCTCGTCAGAATCATTCTTTTCTTTCTTTCATTGTATAGGGCGCACCCGCCGCAGCGAACGATGGGGCGAAAAAGCTTTTCAAATGATTGCTCTCTAAATCTAGAAAGCTGAAAACTCAGTGTGATGTGGCTATTCTTTACTGCCCATAAATCATGCCTTCAGGTATTTTTTCTTCTTCTCAGAATGTATAATTTGATATCTTCTCTACAGGTGGAAGGAAGGTGCTTTCAATGATGTTTATGGTGTTTAGATGATTCTTTCGTTTCCCATGATGTTACCGGTGCTACATTGTGCTTTCCTTCGTTTCAATAATGCTACTGGTACTGAAACTGTGCTATTTGCAATGATACTACTGATATTTTGAAGGTTTTTGTTTTATTCTTGTCATTCTTAAAGAATCAAAAAGAAGATAGAGTTTTGTTCTGAAAATGGGAGCCAAAAGCTACTGCTGGATGAAAGAGGTTGATGTTGGCTGCTTGTGCGGCGCCGCGCATCGCGAACGTCATCATACAACAATCCGCGCGCGATGAAAGCTACTGCGCCTTATACCCCGGAAATTAGGGTACTGTAATTCAGCAGTCTCTTAACGACTGATCGGGCGCTGTTTTATTACTTTCAGGGGTGGCCCGATCGGGCGATGGGCGCTTGTCCGTAGCGGTAATACAGCGCTCAATCAGACATTGAGAGACTGCTAAATACCGCTTTGGGAAGGGGGGCAGCCAACATGAACGATAGCTTGTGCCAGCCCATATGCGCTGTGTAGGTCAAATCTTCCTCAAATTCTATACTTACCTATGATGCTAATGAAAAATTTGGGAAAAAAACCCTGCCAGCTTAGTTGGTCCTAGCCTTTACTTTTCGACACCATTTTCGATCCAGTGAAGAACAACTGCCCCAAAAAGGATGATTATATTTGCGGATATGTCGACAGAATAACTACAGTATGCTTATTTGCAATAATCGTTCATTTCGGCACAACCCCGCTTCTGAAGTAGATCCGGAAGATCAGTTAATGCTCAAACAGAAAAGAGATGACATGTGTGTCTACGTTTATCAGTGCCTGAAGTATTAGTAAAAACCTACCTTATCAAGTAAAAAGTCTATTCAAGACTGTGCTTGTACCATCTTGAAAGCAAAGATCATAGACTGATTGAATAAGCTCTGAATTTTCGTCCCTGAGATCTATGGGAAGATCGCACAAACTATGCCGATTCTAAATAAAGTTTTCTTAGGCAATGCGATACAAATGGCGTATACCTTGATATGGTCTTTAACCGATGCTGGTGAGTAACAGTTGCTAAAATCGCAGTACGGGCACAGATACATGGGCTTTTTTATATGATGCTTAATGATGTCGGATTGTGTTTTTATACTGTTAGAGAACACATAAATACCTGGAGAACATGACGTTCGAGATGTTTGACATTAGTTTCTGAACATAGCCTGCAAGTGTTCCGAGGTTGCGCACTCAGGGCAAATGCTGGACTAACAAAACTGTTGCTCAGATTGTTCACACCACCCGCAAGTTGCCGTGATGAATTACGTGTGAATTCACGGAAGTCATCTAAAATTAGTAAGGGATGATGCACCGGTAGTTTCTAAAAACCAATTCTAAAAGCTTAGGCAAACAAGTGTGAAGATTAGTTGTGAGTGAAGGAAGAAGAATAAAGTCAACATACCCGACACTGAAAACTTCACGGCAACACCATCGCAAACATAATTCAGTATGTCATTGAGGCAGGCGATTACTTCCGGATCCTGGCGCCGAAAGATCTGACGATCGCCAAAGCACCTAAATAGAGACATCAACTGTTGATGAGATTTCTTCGGTCAATGTGCTTCATGTTTCATATGCCTTAGCGGATCAATACAGCACCGCTTATGTTTGTTACAAAAAAGACGCGGTCTACGGAGTTAGACGACATTAGTGTCGCATCTCATTCGAAGTGGTGAGTTCTGAGTCAAAGGTCATCCGACATCCCTGCGCGTAGCAACTCGTTATACATAAAAGCGCCTGTCTGAATACGGTGGATTTATTTGCTTTTTTGTTAATTTTTCACAGTCACCTATGATAGTCACTGCATGGATTTCTCAAGATGCTTGTCTCAACTGAGCAAAATTTGTGTGGATTGCACATCTCTACAAATGTTTATGCTTTTTGAGCAAGCAATGCAAAATCACAGATTTTAATATCTGACACTTTTCTCAAAAATCACAACTTTTTGCAAAGACGTGCGATCAGCACAAATTTTGCTTTTTTGAGAAAAACAGATTGAGAAATCCATGATAGTCACTGCTCCTATTCCAAATTTGAAATGTTCCACGACCAAATACATGAAGATCAAATATGAGTAGTTTTCTTTCACAACTTCTATCTGGGCAATGTATGCGTTGAAAAGCTTGCTACATGAGTAGCTACATGCAGTTACAAGACGAATGATTTACCCTTCTAGATGGAATAAAATGCGTGCAAATCCGTTGAGAAATCAAGATACTATGGTTTTTTGAAAATGGTAAGACAGAAATTTCGTTCCAAGCTGATAATTATAAGTAATCAGTTATCTCATTGTTGAGTCTTTACCAATTTTGATTCAGACAGAAAACATGGAAGAAAATTTAGCTTCAGAATATAAGCGACCAAAGTGGGACGAGTATGCAAAAATATTAGGTTAATGCATAATGGCCGATCTGCGAGTTCTCACTTTGACGTGCTATAATTTTTTGGAAAATCCATATTTCTGAATGGTAAAAGCCGTAAAAAACAGCAAACCTTTCGCAATGCAGCGCCCATTTCTGCACTCATATCACAAACGGACAGCAAAATAATGATTAACGAAGAATTTTTGATAGGAAAAAAGTTGCCCTGAAGAAAGGCTTGGGAAATGGGCCATTATTTTGCACCGACCTAATAGATGTGCTGTGCTAGAATATCGAGGTAGCTCTCAATGTGTTGCACGCAATGCTTTTACCTGCGGTAAAATTCATAAATGTTTACCTGTACAGAAAGCTGTTGATATCATCTTCGAACTGATCTTTGAAGCAAATAGGCTCTTCCTAAAACATTTTGCACGATAACCAGAAACAAAATTGCAACAAAATTCCAAGCTGACCGTGACATTGTGAATTTTCTTGATGTGAACACGGATATTAGACTGATGATATGTGGAAGAAACGTCACAAAAAGGGCACTTGAACATTGGCTTCCCTAGATGATCCCTGAATTAATCTCATAAGGGTGATAGTGAAACTGTGAGCAAGTGATTCTGATTAGAGTTGATTCTTTCTACTTGCAATTCTATATAGATTCAAAATAATCTTCACGAGATACAACCTCTCTGGTTCTGTTCTAGTCCATGTTGGTGAACGAAACTTTTCAAAATTACAAAATCACATACGAATAGATGTGTGTTCTTCTCAAAGTAGACTTTACGCGAATGTTACATAGCCGGCAGATTGCTATCCTTTCACTCTGCACATGGTTTCGACTTCCCTGAATAAAGTTTTGTAGTCAAGAGTAATCTCAAAAGAGTACTGAAAATCATTTTGTGTTATTATTTGACAAGCCGCAGGCCGAGAAATTTGGGTAGAGAAATTATTGCCGAAAGGCTCCGCCTTCGTGTATTACTGGTCCTTACGCACATGCTGTTGCCTGCGCTGTGAGGAGCAGTAGTCGCCAAGGCGGCACTTGATGGCCGCTCGCTCCATTACCCAACCATTTAAGATATCGCTGCGTAACAACAAAAATAGATTATCTATCCCAGCAATCAAAAGAAGGGCATCTAAAGCCATAAGTTTTGATTCTTTCGCCAACGAAATAAGGCCTTTCAGGTCATTATCAATGTCAACTACGTCTTACTCAAATATATATATCCATTTGATTCATGACAGTCTCAAACTTGAGGTGTCTTTTTTGAACATAAATGCAATGTATTATTATCAAGTCCATTCATAAACACAAAAATGGGTGTTTTTTTAGTTGTTCTGATGTATAGTGTGGTTAGGGCCATAACGCATATATTATTTGAAGTTACTGTTACTAACTTTATCTTATTACATTTGGAGGTAAGTAATATGATCATGATGTTTCAATATGATAATTATCTGAAATTTTGTATAAGACCACCTCTAAATTCAAAAAGTTTAGCCTTCTTCTTATTTTTGAAGAGAAAAATGAGAAGCTAGCGCATGATTGCCAAAAATACACAAAATTTCACAACTGATTTTGTACCTGTTTTAGACACGATCCGTTATCTTCTGAAACCTTGAATGTTTTCACAATTTACGAGCGTTGCGCTTTTTTACTCTCAACGGTAAGTAAACTATAATATTTCTAAATACTGGGAAAATGATTTTGCAGAACCTTCCTTCCTCCTGAGGAGTTCCGGTTCTCCATCTGAGGTCTCGGGTATAGTACACGCAATTTCATCTCCTCGCGATTCCCTCGACAAGACAACTGTCACGAGCCCATTACATGTCGATGGCCCTACGTTTCAGTGCGATAGTTAGCGCTGATTAGTCGTATCGGAAAACTATCACCGAAATGCAGGAGGATCGGCGTGCAATAGACTCGTAACAGTTGTCTTGCTGGAAAATTCGCGATGAGATGAAATCGCGTGAACTATGCCCGAGGCCTAAGGGCAAGGACAAAACAAACTTTTGTAGTTATTTACAATAGCAATTTTACATCATTTCTTGATATTATTATCCGTACACCACTGCCAGATAGCTGCTGCTCACCTGTTCATGTTGCCTTCGGTACGCATAATTGGCATCATTTGGTGCTATGCTTCTGGAGTTTTGACTGCTTTGCGACTCTGAAGTAGTACATATTGCGGATCTTCCAGACCGTGATTTGTAACAGTGAAAGGCAGTGTCTCGGCAAAATTTTGTCGCCCAGATTTTCACGTTTTCGGAGCCTTCTCGTCGTAAAGAATTCATATCTGGGCTTTACAACGCATGAAAATGGCGAAAATGAGTTTTTTCCGAAGCTTTCCAGGTCCGTCTTCAGTGCAAGTGGACGGGGCCCGGAACGAGGGAGGCGGGACGCGAACGAGGCGTATCTTCACTGAATGCGGACGTGGGCAGCTTCGGAGAAAGCTCATTTTCGCTATCTTCATGCGCTAAAAAGCCCGGATACGGATTCCTCATGGCAGGGAAGCTCGAAAAAAGGTAAAAAACTGGAAAACGAAATTCTGCCAAGACACTGCCCTTGAGCACATAGACTGGCTTGAGGCTTTGAAACAAAGCGATGTAGGTGCGCTAGTAAATTAAAAAAGTTTATGAAATTATTGAAGTCGGCAGAGAGCATTGGATGGAATCGATTATAAGTTCCTGATGATTGAAAAGGTTCAGAGAACTTTTTGCATGTCATATCAAATCAATTCCTACATTGTGTTGTTTCTTTCTTGCTTCTTTTTTTAGAGCACCTCGTGTGTACATCAAAAAATATATAAATATACTTATATTATATAATATATTCACGCGGGCATTGGCGCCCGCGACACACGAAGCCGTGCTGATCGGGCTCCTGTCTCTTTAGGCCCCCGCCAGAGTGCCGAAGCCACGCCAGCGCTACGCCGGCGCTGGCGTGTGGCTTCGGCACTCTGGCGGGGCCTTAAAGATATGGTCCGATCTGGCTAGTTTGTCCATGTCGAGCGCGACGGTCCCGATCGTGCCCGGTCTCGACAGATAGGGCCCTGCTGCCCATTTGGGCCATGCGTCCCAAACTTTCACAAATCATGGGATGGCGCTTTCGCTTGTTCAGGCACTCGTTAATAATGGCCCAAACAGCGAGTGGGAATTGATAAAGACCGCCTCTGGTGCAACTTACAGCCGGGTAGATTTTCCGCTCATATGGTGTGGTTGCGGTGTCGAGAAAATGCGATGAAATTTGCTCGTGAGCAAATAGCTACGCATGTGGTGCCGCCAGCGCGTGCAAAATCCTCCATTAATGGCATCGCCTCATGTTCAACCTTGAATTTCACTGCATTTTCCCGGCATCACAAGCACACTATATTGAGCGAGGAATCTACACGACTGTATGTGCATTCAAGGATTGAAAAATGTCGCTCTAGGACACTACGTGCGCAGTAAGATTTGGCTTGTTAGGACATTGAGATAAGGCTTATGTGTACGACCTGCAATAAACCTTTAGTAAACAAAAGACTTACCTGGAAAAATCCCCCGTACTCTTGCGAGGCCATCTGTGCCAGTGAAAGCTGAGCTTCTGAAACATATGGTTTAACTCAAATTATCTTGCAAAATTTTCAAAAATAAAAACTCAACTAAGGGCGAGGGTTGTTTTCCTTTTCAGGCTCTCAGGCTTTTCATCTCTCGAAGCAAAAAGTGTTAGTTGCTCAGTATTGTATTTGTCCCAACTCCTTGACGAAGTAGAGGTAGATGGCTCATCAATCTAATCGATTTAATCACTGAGACAGCAGCATTTTTCTACGCAGAACTAACTACTCTATATTGTTCGCCACAGTCTTCCCGTTTCGGAACTCGTGAAGAAATTTCTTGTTCCGCTCCTCCCCACTCAGGCACCTATATTGTAGATCGCCTAGACAACCCAAAGCCCTAAACGGTGGCAAACCTCGTCTACGTAACCTTCTAGGTCAAGTGAAGGTGGAGCATCAGTGAACCAACTTTTTTCATCCAGTGGAGTCGGCGCCGATGAAAATCCTCTCTCATAGGTGACATTGACACGTATACGCTTGATTCTGGAAATGAAACGGCTGGTTGGGTATTGGTTCCTTCAAGCTGATTTGTTCAAATGCCGCTCTAGATGTGTGCAACTGCACAATTCGAACTAAGAATGCTGCAGGCGACAATTTGGAAGTTTCGCCCTCTCAAGCACTTCCGCCTCCCCTTGACTGATAAGCACTTGCTAAAGTCTGAACGAGAAAGCTGTTCTGAATTATAGCACCTATTCGTAGGGACAATATCGTGCCCAGCGACAACTTGAAGGCAGTGTCCAAGCCAAATCTAACCCCCCCCCCCCTTCCGGTTAGTGCCGGTCCTGAATGTAGGCCCCAACAGAGATGCATTTGCATTGATCCGGTCCTCTGACGTTGTCTCCGAATAGAGGTGACTTGAAACACCGAAAGTGCTATCAAGCCACGCCCAAATCCTATCAAGCTCCGCCCGCTTAAGTACTGGGAGCCATCCGCAGCCTCAAAACTGGGTTCCCAAAAATTGGGCATTTTGAGGGATTTTGCACATTTTGAGCTTCAGAACTTTGATCAAGGACGCGGAAAGGCCCCAGAATGACAAAAACATAGAAGGCGAATTTCTGGGTTCAGGCTAATCTGGACCTATGGAGATTTTACGTGGAAAGTAATAGGCCCTAACTAAGGCATTGCCCAAGCGGCAGCGCAAATGACTCACTAACGGCTGATATATACGCCTCCAAACTGTACCCCAGGATCGTATTATCGGACGACTTGCATCGTGTTTGCATCGCGCCCGAGGTATCACGCCATGAATCCATGCGAAATACGATCCTGGGGTCCAGTTTAGAGGCAGATATCTCAGCCGTTAGAACACCACCTAAGCTGAGGAGACGGTCAAGAGGCGCGATTTCTCTGGCTGTCACCAACTTACAACCCCAGTTTGATGCCATGCGATTCTTCAAAAATTACCAGATAAATTGCAATAGCCTACTATCTGTCTGAGGTCCCAAAATTAATATCCATGCGAAATTCCCGCATGTCCAGATTTGCCTGGACGCTGTCTTTAATTAGAGTCATCAATAATTGATGCCTTCGTATTCCCAATGCGTTTGGTACGCTTCCAGTAATTCAAAAAAGAGGTCCTCTACGAAGTGGAAACGGTCACAATTTGTAGGATCTAGCCACCAACTGAAGGGTTGCATTGAAGATTTGCAAAAGAGGTCGCGATAAGAATCAAGAAACAAGAGATAAAAAGTCAGACGTTGCATCTATTATGATATTGGTTACATAAGACATCAAGACAAATGCCCGACTGTTTCGGCAAAGCTAAATTTTGCGCCTCGAAATCAACCTCAAAAAAAATTTTTTTTTGAATTCTTCAAACATTTTTTTTCATTTCAAAAACCTCGCTCACTTATATAATCGAGAAAGGCTATTTCTTAGTGAATAAAAAGATGAGTTGGTGTGAAATATCAGGCAACTGTCGTGTTTCGAGATAATGCTCGCCCTTCGCCCATGTATGTGTTTTGCATTTCGGCCGTACACGATGAGCAGTATACTTCAGGAATTCGAAGTACTTCATCGAATGAATGGATATCGAATAAATTTGAAAAATTCGAAAAAACGAATACCAAACAAATTTTTTAAATCAAAAAATACTCGAACCCTGAGGGTCGCTGACCTATTCGAATGGCTAGACATACGAATGTCGAAGATATATTAGGTTGTCCCAAAGGTAAACTCCTCTAGTAATTCAAACTGTTTTTGCTTTCCTAGTAGACTTAGTTTATACTTCGATAGAGCATATTTTGCTCTACAAAATGACACGAAGGGTCCGCCTAAGTCGCATTTCATGTAAAGTTTGAAGCCAAGATCGAAAAATATTTTGTCGCCTGGAAATTGGATTTTTGCGAGGAAAAAACCTACGGACCTTGAACTTGGTCATTATACAGTAGGCGCGTAGAATTATTCAAATATGCTTTAACTGGATTTTTTTTCGCGTATAGAAAGCGAGAAAAAAAATAGTCCAAAAATGGCAAACCCCGCCCCCAGCCCCTCCCTGTCATTGTGTACTATGAGCCTTACTAATTATAATCTTGAGACTTTACCTCTGTATCTGCTTTTATGATCGAAAAATACCAAGTTTGACTGAAAAACACGAACAAAGTGGCATTTTGGCATTTTCGGACCATCTTTCTCTCTCAATTTTGAGCCCCGGAAGAATTTCATCGGATAATATCCATCCTTTTTGCGCGTAAAAATCATGTTTTGACACGTTGAGGTCGTGTGTAAACAAGTTTATGCACTAATTATTTTCCAATGTGTTAATATACCTGTTGCTGGTAAAATGACATTAGAGCCCCTGGAAAGTTTATGATTTCCCCTTTGCTTTCCCCTCAGAACATGACATCCAGCGTGTGAAAGTGCCACCTCTGCTGAGCTCTGGTAACGGTGATATCTTTATGTTCAAATGCCAGGTAGCTCTCCAGTATTGAGATCAGTTTCTCAGAAAAAGTTACGACGCCGCAGTTCTGACAGATGTTAGAAAAAATCCATTCAACCAAAACCTATGCAGAATCATTGACGAGCGTGGGGGTTTTTGTAATTCTCAATCGAGTACCCTAAAATCCCGCCAATAAGTCCGGCCTTATCTATTTCTTTGACACAAAAAATTGATAAAAAACATCGCCCTCTGCGCTGCCAGAAATCTAACAGATCTGCTGCGGTCTGATGGGAGGATTCATCTGCTAGACTTCTGGCAGCGCAGAGGGCGATTTTTTTATCAATTTTTTGTGTCAAAGATAGATAAGGCCGGACTTATTGGCGGGATTTTAGGGTATTTAGAAATTATGAATCCTCAGCAATACCTGCGCAGTAAAACACAGGGGCCACTCAAAGTATCTGCACAAGTGGGCCAGGGAACTGTCTTCAAACTTAGATCGCTGGTATCAGCGTTTTGAGTCAGCCATTACAATATTGGTCAGCTCTTTTTCGGGAAATACACTACTCGTTGAACACTTTGGTTGTAATTCACCCCTTCTGGTTATCATGACAGCTTTTATCCATACTCAGATTACATCTGCATTCCACAAATTTCGGGGAATTGTAGACTGAAACATGACTTCTACATCTTACTGCATCAAAAAATCAGTTTTCCGAGTCTTGTTCTGCTTTTTCCCAAAAATCAAAATACGCATATTTGATGTAGCTTTTGAGCTTGATAAGCTCTTTAGAGTGGTACTTGATTGCTCCTGGATCTCCGAAAAACTCTCGACTCCTTTGAAGCGGCATTCCAGAATTATAAGCGAGGACCGACAACGTACTGCCAGGAATGCGCGTCATTAGTACGAGTAAAGTTTGTATTTGCCTGCTTGTCGTTGATTGAAACAAGAAATTCTCAGATGCGTAATTTGCAGATACCTATGCAATTATGCAGTGCAGATTTCCTTAAAACAAGACTTAATAAAAGACGTACCCTCCGCTGCTTCTTACAGTGACGAAACGAACCGCTGTGGCGTTGACATGGTTCTCGAACATATCTGGTATACAAAAGCTCTCAAAAAAGTAGTCTTCGGGGAACATAAAAATGTCATGGTAATATCCATCAACGCACTTCACACTTGCGGAATAAGAAAAATTGACAGAAACTTTATCAAAGTGTGATCTATAACAGTCAGATTCAATGGAAAAATACACATCAACTAGATAGAGATTCAACAAAGGCTTTGTAGACGCTCAGCACCTTCTCTACATCATCAGCTTTGATGCCCCAATTCGTTACGATGCGAACTCGTGTATCATCAAAAGGCATAACCAGCACGCCATGTGAATGGAAAAAGTTCTTGACCTGGAAAAATCTAAATATTTTGCAGCGATTGAAAAATTGATACCCACTTCAACCGGAGGGATTTTCTTGCTGCATTTCAACAAAATCATGTTAGTAATCCCACTTTCAACTACTTGAAGATCCTAAAATATCAGCATTAAGAAGTGCCAATATTCTTTTAGTAAACATACATCCTTCAGACTCTCAGGAGTCATTTCGTTGAATCCGCGAGCAAGTTTGCAAGCATTGAGGTGGTCTTGCTTGACAGTTTCTTCCGCTCTATCCAAGGCAATATGAGCGGCGGCTGCCAAAACACCTGCCTGTCTCCAACCACCACCCAAAGCCTAAAAAAAAGAAAAACATTTGTGGTCCTCTCTGTGCTTGATGACCGACGTTCGTAGTCGACATACCACTGTCTTTGAAATATACACTCTACAAATCGTTTATGGGTGTCATAATTTGATGCCTACCTTACGCCTTCTTCTAGCAAGTTCAATAAATTTTTTTGATCCAACAAGCACAGATCCTACGGGCGCTCCAAGACCTTTTGAAAAACACATCATTATAGAATCTCCATACTGAGCAATGTTCGAAACCTGAAAAGAGCAAAAAGACATCGTTTGTAAAGATAAAGACATTTAAAAGGATTACAAAACAATTTATACCTTCACTCCCAACGCAACTGCAGCATTGTAGATACGTGCACCGTCAATATGCACTCGAACATTTCGTCTAGTTGCCAATTCACGTACAGCTCTGAGATAACCACGTATCACGTAATGCTGAAATAAACAGCCATACCTCATGTAGTCCAAAGGCAAAACAAGACCGCCAGCATAGTTGTGGGTGTTTTCTAAACAAATGAGACTGGTACGTGGCATGTGACAATCGTCGACGCGGATAGCTTCTTCGATCTCATCGAGGTTCATTGTACCATCCGCATTTACCGGCAAAGTTGTAGCACTAACTCCTAGAGAACCGAAAAGTTGTGGAAAGGAAAATCTTCTATCTGTTTACCTGCGATCTGAGCGTAGTTGCCTTGCTCCCAACGATGAATGTGATTGGTTTTACCAACAATGATCTCATCTCCGCGTTGACAGTGAGTCATGATAGCTAGGAGATTGCCCATAGTCCCACTCACAACAAATAGAGCAGCTTCTTTATCAAATAGCCGAGCACATCTGCAAGTTTGTCGGCAATAATTGCCCATTCCTAAGTTTAATGCCAGTAACAGCAGTTCGTGAAACATGAAATCATCCAAAACTCTTGTGCTAGGCAAAGATTATTCCGCTTGGTCGATAGACCCAGGCAAAGGTATGCGATATCAATTGCCTCACAGTTTCCAAAGTTCGCTTCCTCATTCTCAAAAAATGTTAATTTTAGGTGATCTCTTCATAGAACGTTAGGGGTGGATATAGCACCCCGATAAAGAGGCGCTTCTATGCTCAAACTCTTGGGCCTGCTACCGCCATCTTCCACACAGAGATACACTTCGCGTATATCATGAGAAAAGTAAAATAAGGGATGTATTGTGAGAAAAGCAAAAATACCTATATCAAGCATCGGCGCTTTACCTCAAATAACTGACATGAAAATGGTTAGAGGAAAAGGCAAAATCACAATAAAAAGCAAAAAGAATGAGAGTGGTGTATCAGCAATGCAGAAAGCTGAGTTCACACACCTCTCTTCCAAGCTATTGATGGTCTTGTCTTCTCCATACACATCATCACCAAGTACAGCATTAGCCATGGCCTGTCTCATTTCCTCCGAAGGTAAAGTCACCTATAGGAAAAACTCGAATTCGCACGAATCTGCTTCCAAATGGCAACTTACCGTATCTGATCTTAGGTCGATCAGGCGTGAAGAGTCATCGACAGTGGCAGTGTAGTATGAAGTATTGAACACCATGTGGTAAAGACTTCCGTGTCTACCTTGAATGAAGAAAAAATAAAAATGCACAAAAGTGAGGAATTTGAGAACGTGGAAATCCCGGGTAGGAATCTCTTTTGAAACCTCCTTCCTGAGCAAAAATAAAACATCAAAGTACTAGAGAGCCAAAACAAATGGGAAACTATACACCGTTGAAAATACGATGACCGATACAAGAATGTATGCAAACTCTACCCAACTACTACTACCCCTTTCTCGATCAGTAGACTAAAAATTTGGGACCAAAACTAATACTGATGTGAATACTACTATGCTATGCTAAATTTAACTTGCAATACGGTTTAATCTAAAAAACCAGTATACTATTTGTCTCATCGTTTGTTGCAGTTCAAGACAACTTTATTGAACTAATACGCTCGTTGGCGCATCACTGATTGCATGAATAAATAAATAAATAAATATATATATAAAATAATACACAATTTTCGCCACTGAAGAAAAAACACGATACTGTGGTGATATAAAGCGACTAACCTTTTCGCCGCAGAGAAGACGATCTCAGAATGTAGTAATGAAACGCAGAAGATAAATGAGCCGCCCTTCGCACTGCGCCGCTTATCATGTGCTATCAAAAACTTCCATGATTGAACGGCAAATTTTGAGATGCGCGTCATGCTGAAAATAAACTAAAGATAATAAGGGCGATGCTGAAAAGTCGACCCGTCCTATTTGACCTAGTGACCTATCCGATGCCATTATAGCACTTATAGGCCATCCGCGCAAGGCTCGGAGAGTGCGCAGGGTGTGTGTTACGCGTCACTCCTCTTTCCCCGTGCACTCTCTGCGTTCCTTCCAGTCATGAACTTCCTTAATAGGGGCAACATCCATGCGAAGCGCGTATGGTCCATGCCCTATTTAAAATCTCTTGACATCACACTACGCCTTTGCTAAGTGTCACCAATAAATTGATCGCAAGAGTTTTTTTGTGATTTTTATAGGTTCAGAGTAGATACTTGAGACTCTATTACCCTATCATCGTATCGCATATTACTTCCTGGAGATGATGTGAGAGATTCTAAATATAAACATTTGCCAAACCTAACGTCACTCTTGTACTTTCATTTTATGCTATTTATTACCAGTTGTCCCTCTAACCTGATCACAAAAGCCATCACGTATAGATAACACTCTGTTCATCGCAGAACACATGTGCACGTGGCCATGATTTACCCACCCACATGTATATCACAGGTGTGAGGCCACCTATGAAGAAATCATAGTCCAATTTAGGCTTATCTCGAGTGAAATCACTTTAAAGATAAGCGTAAAATTTAGCATCAAGGCTAATCACAGGCTACGCGATCATACTCATGATCTGGTGACTGAAGAGGAGTGGGATCTAATTCGATGCCATCGAAACTATCAAATTTTTGATCTTATCCAAAAATCAGAAGTGATGAAGAAACATTCGGTACCGATTCATGTGACATATGCGACACCGCATGGTAAAGAAAACACATCCATAACTAAAATTTATTTGCGCAACAAAAGTTCAGAAATATACATATCGAAATGCATAAGGTAATCAAAATAATTCACTATACATAATAGGACTATGATGACTGCAGTTATGACGGGGAATGAGCATGAAGTTATCCAACAATGCGTTTCTGCTAAACAAAGGATCAATAATGATATAAAAAGAGGGAATATGAGATATAAGACAAATAACTACACCGGGTGATGGAGAGATGAGTTATAACAAAATATTACTTCAAATAAGTGGATCGTCTGTACACTAACGACAACTTCAGGGTATATGGATTTCATCTATAGCGACTAGTTTGATTCTCCGTAGTCATCAAAAACAACGGTGCTGCTTTTTAAGTACACTTGACAGCATCATTTTTCAGATTGATTCGCTTACAAAGTGCGCCTCTATACATTTTGTTCTTATGAGTACGAAATAAGTAAATCAAAAAAGCAACAAAACTCAACCACAGTTCCATAAATTAAAATTCGGATCTGATACTAACAGTGATTCACTTCAGCACGTTCCAAACCCATACTACGGACCATTTCTTCGAGTTCATTGATCTTCCTTTCCTTCTCTGCGATTACGCGCCTGCCCTCCATATCTTCCTTAAAGAAACGATTGAACCGAGCTAAAGAAAGTTACAAATGCGCATTACTTACCTCTTTCAAAACATTTATGATTTCTTCATGTGTTCTCAAATCCTTGGTCACGTCTTCAAGCTTCTGACGAGTGTTCTCCAACTGAAGCTGGGAAAGGAAAGCATATGTTACAAAGGAGACTAGTGGACGCATTACATAATCACAGTTCAAAAATAAAGTACAAGTCAGAAAAAAATCTCAATGTTATACTTACATAGTGTAAATTTACGAAAAGCTAAAGAAGTGCGTGAATGAAAGCAGATTCACCTCTGATTCCAACAACTTCGCATACTCCGCCTTATCGCGCATTTCTCGTACAACCGCCTCTTCATTTATCATTGACATGTTGAAACCACTTCCACCTGCAAATTTTTTTAGCAAAAAAATACTTAGAATGAATCAAACAAACCTGCAGACTGGAATGATCGAAGCTGATCTTCTGTAACTGATACTCTTTCCCTTTCAGCGACCAGTAAAGCATATGTTTCATCCAGTTTGTCCCTAAAGAAAGAAGAATCACAAAGTGAAAGGTCTAAAAACATCGAAATTAGATCACAGAATACAAAACTGCTCTATACACAATTTCCTATCTAGGTCCCTTCCCTGAAAGTTGGGTCGTATTGCCCTGGGGTTGACGCTACGATATCGAATACCGGTGATTTCTCGCCTTCAATAGTAGATGCAGCAGCCACCCTGACCAAGCACAAACAATAACTGCTTAGGTGAATGCACTGCAATTTACTGACATTCAAGGAGCGATTTATCTATGAGGAGTCGCGCTTGACTATGTTATTGTTAGCAAACATAAGTCCGCTATAAATATAAGGATCTTAAAGGCAGCGCCCAGGCAGATCCGAGCTCGACGACCACGCCCACCTTCCTCGGACGGCCAACCTCTTATGAACGAAATCTCCTCAGCCTTGACGTGTTTTCACAAGACCAACACAGTCGAACTTACAGCGTTTACCTGTTATTGCTTTCGACAAGGATAACATCAGAAGCACTCGTCCGGGTTTTCCCAAAATAGCCCCAAAAGGTGGTTTTCTGAGAAATTCACGCTTTTTGAGTTCCATAATCGGAATCAGCGCCATGGAAAGGCCTGGATAACATAAACATATAGAAGTCGAGAATCTGCCTGGACGCTGCCTTTAAAGGCACCGTCCACCCAAATCGGGGTTGGTGAGATTATGATACCTAGCAGCTGCGGGGCCCAACTGTATGATTGCCCAACTTGCGCTGCCTAAAGTTGCTTCCGAAGCGAGAAAATTGCTTCGGAAATCGCTTCAGGTGACGGTTCGCCACGTTGGCTCCTCCCCTTTCGGGTGGGCGTGACGTCGTCCTGCCCATCCGTGCCCGCCCAACCAATCACCGTTCCGAAAAAATCGCTCTACGGGTTCTGAAAACGGGGGATTTTGCGGTTTTCACGGATTTCCAACTTGATATTCAGAATGAGGAGTATGAGAAGGCCCTGGAACGGCAGAAACATGGAGGTCGAAATTTTGGGTGGACGGTGCCTTTAGGAGCTACAGAGTTGGATGCAAATTGTGGTTCTGGATGCAATTCCAAACGGAATGCTCGCCGTTGCCGTCCGCACGACTGGCACAAGCTTCCATCAGTATAAAGTGGCAATAAGCGAGGTGGATGGTATACATGCGCCCCGGTCCACCTTTAGGCGCAGTTTTGGCAATATCGAAGCAGTGGTGTACCGAGGGCGCCCCCCCCCCCTGAGAACGGGTCGCGAAATTTTTGAAAATTATTTACGTGTGTTATAAAAATGTGCAAGTGACTTGCTTATTTTTGCAAACAATTAAAATAATTTTCAAAATTTTTTTGAAAATACATATTAGCCGTATAAAAAAATTTTTTTCCAGACTTTAGGGGTTGGGGGCCCGCAAAAATTTTGAGAAGCCCCCCTAAAAATTTTTCGGAGTGCATGGCTGACGCCACGCACCTTCATTTAGAAAAAAAATTTTTTTGGCGCCCCTTCCCCCTCCCCCGAGCCGAAATCCTGGGTACGCCACTGTACCGAAGGTATGCACGTACTCCGCCGAAAATTGGAGGGGAATAATGGAACCGAGGTGAAGTTTATATGTGGGAACCTACAGACGGTTGTTTCATTCATTTTCCGCCCCAACGGTAGTGTTCAGGCAAATTTGGACACCAGTGGTGTCCCAGGAGTTCCGCTTGAAGGGGGAGGGGGAGGGGGGACAAAAATTCTTTTCAAATGAATATCTGAAATGCTCCCAAGGATTCTGGCGGGTCTATAACCCGGAAATTTCAGAAAAAGGGGGCGTGCCGGCAGCCACAACTGCAAAAAAATTTTTCAAGGTCAGTGATTTTCATAATTTTAGACATTATTTTAATCATTTGCAAATATTAGGTCGTTCCGAAAGTAATGTCGCTTTTTTCAATTGAACGCTACATTTCGTGGAAGCAACGCTTCTAGGAGATCTTGGTAGCATTCGATGCAGCATTTCATCCTCTTTCCAATGGCTATAATTTCACTGCAGAATACTCGATGAGCTTTTAAAAAATTACTAAAATCTCCAACCCATGCTTTTTGGGAAGGTCAAGTTTCACAATTTTTCTAATTTTTTGTAATAATTCCCGGAAGGAGTCCAAGTAGATGGATAGAGCAAACCCTATAGGAAACGGTGCTATTTATTTCTGCTCTCCGTATCTCGTCATAATTTTTGTAGAGATTTTTCAATGAAGTCACCAAATTTTTGCAGGCTTGTCTCAAACACATATGCATCAAACACCAATAAACTTTCGGATTCTGAAACCTACAAAGGTGGATTATGGTTTAACACTAATTTTACAAAGCATGTGAGCATTTACCGCTTCAGATTAGCAACTTTCGAAAATTCCGGGTACAACCTGGGGCGCCCTGGAAAACCTGAATTATGATGATTTTGTCCCGGAAAACTCAATGAATCAGAAATAAAAAAAACTGGTGGAAAGAGGAGAAAAAGCTGCATCGAATGACACCCGAGTCGCTTGCCGGTTGTTGTTCTGTGAGGTCTGAGTTGACCAAATATGGGATTTGATAGCACTGAAAAATTGGTTCTACAAGCTCCAAGACGCAAGCTAAGGAAAAGAAAAAAATTGTTTTGTATCCTATAGGGTTTGCTCTGTTTATCTGCTACTTGTACATCTTCGGGGAATCAGTACAAAAATTAAGAAAAATAGCCGAACTTGACCATGACAAAAAGCATAAGTCGCAGGTTTTAGTAATTTTTTGAGAGCTCATTGAATATTATGCAATGAGATTACAACCATTAGAAAGAGGATGAAATTCTGCATCGACTGATTCCAAGAGCTCTTGAAAATCTTAGTTCCACGAAATGTGGCGTTCATTTGAAAAAAACGACATTACTTTCGGAACGACCTAATATAAACAAGTCACTTGCACATTTTTCTAGCTCATGTGACTTTTAAGAATTACGCGACCACATTTTTGGGAAAAGGGGGAGGGGCTTCGGTCCGCCAGCTAGATACATAGGCTGTCATTGGCGCCGCTGGGCCAGCCTTTCCTTGACTTCTCGTGCACGTCATCTGAACCAGACATGGTTTCTTCCATCGGTTCTTCTCTCCTATCCGTGCTGATGGGGTGAATCAAAACAGGGAACAAGCCGACTGCTCGCAAAAGGATAAAGGGGGACTTATTTTTGCCTTTTCTGTCTGCTTCCCGCGAACGGTAGCTTGACTGTTGGCTTCGACTATCCAAGGCTAAGGATAGAAGAAAGGGAAAATTCCGGAAAGAAGCCCTGGCTGCTCCACTGGATGATCTTATACGGAAGTCGGTAGAGGATCCAGCGAAGACAGCCAAAGTCGCATTCTCTCAGGCACACTAGCAAGAAGAATGACCTTCGTCATCGGAACGATTCCAATGTAGAACCCCACTATTAAGATCGTCGAGAATGAAAAAACAGAATAGAATTTGCCTCGATACCATCTTAAAGGCAGTATTCGGGCAGATTTGATGGCATCTCCGAAAGAATCGCTGAGGCATGCAAGCCATAGCCCGATCGCAATGAAAATACTGCTTAAAGCAGAAAACTGTTTCAGAACTTCCGACTAAATCACCCCTAGACTCGGCCTCGACCTTACAAACACGAAATCATGCCAAACGCAGCCGTTGCAACGCTGTCACTGGCTATGTCCCGCCATACATGCTTATGCAGGCGAAAGTGAAGTGAAGGGCGGCTATGTCGAAACTTCTAAAACAATTTTTGCTTCAACAACGGTATCTGCAGCCGCAGACGGGTACGGCTTACATGGAGACCCTGCTGCAGTAAATGATGCAGTTGAGGAGCTACCAAATCCGCCCTGACATTGCCTGTAGACCTGCAGTGCCGTATGCATGCACTGCAGTTCACAAGACTATGGGACTGAGTTCTTAGAATCTCCTCACTCATCTTCTAAGGGTGTTCATTTTTTTTTCACTTTTTTGAACTCGATGAGAACTCCGAAATATGTGCTAAGAATTTGATCTCACGACAAGGATGTTTCTGATATTAAAGAAACATTATAAATTCCCATAGATAATAGTCGCATCAGAAATTCATCGATTTCACTTGCTTCTTTCAGGAACATATTCAGCAGTGAGAGATTGGATGATGCTGAACATATTTCTGCGATGATTCTTTTGAGCTCGTAGGTTAAGATACAAGACTATCAGTGGCGTACCCAGGATTTCGGCTCGGGGGGGGGGGGGGCGCGGCAAAAAAAAATTTTAAATGAAGGTGCGTGGCGTCAGCCACGCACTCCGAAAAATTTTTAGGGGGGCTTCTCAACAATTCTGCGGGCCCCCAACCCCTAAAATCTAGAAAAAGGGGGCGTGGCGTCAGCCACGCCCCCGAAAAAAATTTTTTTAGCTAATTTGAATTTTTAAAAAATTTTAAAAATTATTTTCATTGTTTACAAAAATAAACAAGTCATTTGCACATTTTTATAACGCATGTAAGTAGCTTTCAAAAATTTCGCGACCCGTTCTCGGGGGAGGCGCGCGCCCCCCCCCCCCGCCCCCCCCCCCCTCGGTACGCCACTGAAGACTATGGATAAGATGGCCGTTCTTTGGAAATCTAAAAAAATGACGCTGAAAAAACATGGAAGAAATTTGATGAGTGCGGATATAGATATTATACCTTAGCTTGATACGTTCAAACTCAGTCTTGTCTCGTGAGTCGGTCAGATCAGCAATCTTTCGGTAAGCTGATTCAAGTTCGTTCGTTGCTTCAATCAGCGCTTTGGCACGCGTGTCCGACTGAAATTGAATGGAACAAGTGCAGTGACAAAAGGAAGATTCAAAGAGTAAACAAGTAGACCGTTTTCATCCGTGAATATCGATGGATATGGTTCGTAAAAATAAATTAGTGTTGTGGAAAACTTTGGGACATGCAGGGTAATGCCTTCTACAAGATTCAAGGTAACAAATATGTAGACCTCCCAAAAAGATAGCCATTTGCAACGAAAAAATATCTCTGCGGTTAGTGAATGAATGATAGGAGCATTTTTCCACTTTATCAGTCTTTCAGCTATTATTGAAGGTCTTTCCAATCCCACTCAACAAACTCACCTCGACTCCTCTATCATGAAGCTGCTGCTGCAGCTGTAGCACATTTTGTTCCAATGAAGAAGTTTTGAGGCTGGTTTTCTTCTCCTCTATCTCTGCACTTTTCTTGAGTACCTTCACTTTCTTCTGAAAACTGCTCATTAACAGTTATCTTACTAGGAACGGACGCCAAGAAGGTACGATACACAGCGTACTTCATTCTCATTCTGCTTTTGCAACATGCTGTTTTGCTTCTCCAAATCGGCAACTTGACCTCTAAGTTTTTGCACTTCGAGCTCCAAGTCATTAACAGATGCTAATTTATCAGCCATCTATGCAGAAAGATCCTATAGGCAATCGAAGATCTGAATGAGATTAAAGAAGACCCTACCTCAGCTTCCTTCTGCTTTTGTAACATGCTGTTCTCTTTTTCCAACTCCGTGGTACGACTTTTGAGTTTTTCAACTTCGAGTTCTAGATCACTTACTGACGCTAACTTGGCAACCATCTGAAACACAGATATAAAGATTTTTAGTGAGAAAGTCCATGCCTACCTCGCTCCTCTCCTTATTCATCGAATCTAAGGATATTATCGCTTTATCGAGCATTAATCGAGTCTCATTCTGAGAACGCAGGATGTTTTCAAGTGTAGCTTCAGAATCCGCATACGATGCTAAAACAACGATACTGCAAAACCCTATGCACAGCCCGCACATGGTACACAATAAAAATAAGTCAATTGAGTATCTTACACGCTTCAGTAACGGTGGACGCAGCTAGCGAGCGATCCATGGTCCCAGCAAGCACAGGAGTTTCATGTTGCTCGGTCGTCAACGTCGGATGTGCTGCAAGGGAACCCAAATGTTCCATCGTTGGAACTGCAGTGCTGTCGCCACCATTTTCCACAGGGATGCTGCAATGGAATTTTGAATAGGTGGCTTAGATATTTTCGGGCTGATAAATATTTCCGTTTTGACAAGCAATTTGGCTGAATATCAGCTATTCATATTGGTAGGAATTTCCTAGCAATATGAATAGCTGATATTCAGCCAAATTTTTTTGTGGAGAGACAGTATCGAATCTCTGCTCTCACATGTCAAACATTCAAAACTTTCGTCATCAGTAGAGCAGTATACGGCTAGCTTTGAGAAATCGCTTTTTGAGGCTTTTTTGGAGCTTCGCCTTTCAGAACACGTACAAACTTTGGTAGTATATTGAAACAGAACATTGTGAACCGGAATCGGAAATTTCAAAGTTAGAAATGGGCGAATTTCCTGATATTTGTAAGTGGAAGACAATTTTGGGCAGTTCAAATCGCTTTGTTTGACCATTTATAGCCATGTAAATGGTCGTTCATATCAAAACCATGTGCATGTCCCAGTGTACATTATGCATCCAGATACAGCTCGTTTTTGTTGCATAATTTTTGGAAAACGGGTTGAAAAATGTGGATTTTTTGCTTTCCTGGCAATTTCGTCACTGGAAAAATAATTCTACAAAGCAATGTCAGCCATCTGATTCTCTTTAAATTACTCTTTTCATTGATACCAAACGTTCATGATCTAGACTGAGCGAAACCTCTAGTGTTGCGCACAGATTTATCGATTGCCAAATCCTTCATGATTCGGTCATTCAAATTATTTACGATGAGTCTCTACTAAATGGAGCATTGTAACCTTGCATCGCGGGTGTACCAAGCAAGGCACAGCTGAGTAGGTTTTCCGCTTAATATTGTGCCCTTGCGGTGACGAGAAAATGCGAGACTGCGCGTGGACGCCAGTAACGTCGGCACTTTGCGCTCGCAAGTGGCCGACTTACAGGCATAGCTAGTTCAGGGCCATTTTACCCCTTCTTCTCGGCACTGCAAGCACAGTACATTGAGCGGAAAATTATTCTACTGCATGTCCAAGGCCCATTCGAGTCAACGAGAAATGAAAGAAGAATGCTAGGGATCCCTCACCAGCTACTGAACAGAAAACAAAGGAAGCGTCTTGTCAAACCTACTTTGGTTTTGCTTGGGTTTCATCGAACGTCGACGAAAGCAACGATGCAAGACTGTTTAGTGGAACAAGAGACTCAACGTTGATGCTATGTTGCATAGTCCATTGCGAAACGGTCTCGTTTGCATGCTCTGGTGCTGCATTATCTATACTGGAACATAAAGTCAAACTTCTGATGACAAAAAAAATACCTACCGAGTGTGTCACTGGAGATTATTTCAAACTCATCGGTGCAAAGGCTATCATCAGGATTGTTGGGATTGCATAGGGTACTCTCCTCATTGTTAACCGCAGTCGCACTAGACATTCTAAAAATCAAACGGAGATGATTTTATGAAGTTCGGAAAACAGAAAGCGGTATTAAACAACGTAAAAAAACTCACATCAAAAGGAGAATTCGACAGAGAGAGGAGAAGAGAGAGGCACACACACACATTGAAAAAGAGTGAAAGAAACGTATACCCTGGTAAATTCGACGGTTGCGATAGTGTTCTCGCGCTGCTGCTTCTACCGTTACCGTGTCCCATTGCGCAAACAGTTGGCCCAGCTATATGGCACGCACCAAGCTTGATCCACTTTACCCAGCTTTCGGTCAAACCAGTGACTGAATGACTAATGACGAAAGATGTCCACTTGATCCACTTCGCTGTTAGTTATATAGTTCTGATTTGACCAACGAGATGAAGTGAAATGGATATACTTTGTGCAACACTGCGTAGCTACAGATGTCGATGCGAGGCTTTTCTTCGGCAAATAATGTCCTCTAAGGCTAAGGGCATACTTCACGCGATTTCAGTCGCCACGCGATCTAACAACTTGCCAGATACCTTCAAATTCAATACTGGCAGACCCCAAATGCACAGCTATTTAATTTTGGTAAGTTGATAAAATGCTCTATATTTCGTACATTTAGAAACCCTTTTCGATGGTTATGCACAATTGGAGTAATGCCAAATTGCGGCGCGACTGAAATCGCGTGAGGTATGCCCTTAGCCTAACAGCCTCACAGCTGGTTGAGTAATATCACAGATTCCCTTAGAAGTGGTTCGGCAGATTTGCGGCTTTTTTTTTCGGCCTACCTGGGCCTATCTGAATTGCTGAGTCCAACATTATAACAAAACCCTACAAAGGCAGTGTCCGAGCAAAAAGTCTATTTTGAGATTTTTTGCTTACCTCGGCCTATTCACCATGCTGAATCCGAAAATCCACATTGAAGAGCGCGAAAACGGCGAAAAGGGGCTCTAAAGCAGGAGGGGAACCAGCAAGTGGGTGGAGTCTTCCCCACTGTGGATTGACGCTCCCGACTTCCGAAGCGATCCTCTCGGTCCCGATTTCAAGTCATGCAATTGCACTTGGCTCGTGGAATGTCAGGGCGGCTAGCGGAATCGAGAAGATCGCTTCGGAAGCAGGAAATGTGAATTTACAGTGAGCAGACCCCGCCCACCTGCTGATTTCCCTCCTGCGTTAGAATCAGGGTCAAGCGTGGGGTGTGGCACGCCACACCTGGGGGGTCGTATTGAGGAGTCAAAAGGGGAGGGGGTCGTAGTTGGGTAATCTGATAATAGTGATAACATGATATTCGTATCCTATCCATAATTAGCATGTTAAATAACCCCTGTAGACAAAGTGTGAGCGATTTCTGAAGGTTCAAAATACTAGGCTACCTAAGTGAAATGGTCAAATTCCAACATGATTAACTTTGTTTCAAAGGTGAATTAGTTATCCGTTTTTGCACTCAAGACAAAGCACTACTCCTTCTTTGTCCGTTACAGGAATCCTGCTTCAGAAGACCTCCAAACTGTGGAATTAGAAGCCAACCAAAATCTCGTTTTTTTTCCCATTTTTCGCTTTTGATCGCTGTGCTTTCACCAAATATTATTTGGAGCTAAGAAGACGAATCAGGCTCAAAATAGTCCTATGGAATCTACAAGGTTTAGGCTATCGATTCATATAAATAGTGTCCGCTAAAAATATTTTTTTGATATAGTTAATGGCCTGCGGCAATCCCCCCCCCTCAAAACCTGCGGCTGCCGCAGGTTTTGAGGGGGGTGCCGCAGGCCATTAACTATATCAAAAAAACAATTTTAGCGGACAGTATTTATATGAATCGATAGCCTAGATCTCTTAGTTTTCAAAGGAGTAATTTTAGCCTAATTCGTTTTCTTTGCTCTGAGTAATAGTTGGTGAAAGCACAGCCATTAAAAGCCAAAAATGGGAAAAATGAGATTTTGGTTGGCTTCTAATTCCACAGTTTGGAGGTCTTCTGAAGCGGGATTCCTGAGGTGGACAAAGAAGGAGTAGTGCTTTGTCTTGAGTGCAAAAACGGATAGCTAATTCACCTTTGAAACAATGTTAAACATGTTTAAAAATGACCATTTCACTTAGGTAGTCTAGTATGTTGAATCTTCAGAATCCGCTCACACTTTATCTATGGGGTTATTCGACATGCTAATTATGGATATGTTGCCCATTATGTTTGACAGGGCCTTTAAATAATGCTATCTTAAGTGTATAGTTTAGGGGGGGGGGGTCTTATTAAGACAGCAATCAGGGGGGGGGGGGGGTCGTAGCCAGCGATCGTGCCGCACCCCTTGCTTGACCCTGGTTAGAATCCTTTTTCGCCGTTTTCGCGCTCAGTGTGAATTGACAGATTCAGCATAGCGAAGACCGGGTAAGCACAAAATCACAAAAGCTTTTTGCCCAAACACTGCCTTTAAGAAGCGATTGGCGTTTCAGCAACTGAGATTCTCGCGCTTACTGTCATATTGCGAATGTTCCAACAATCCCGGCAACCTCGCTATTACAATTTTCGTGATCAACATGGTCAGTCCGTGCAAAGTTTATTGATTTGCGCAGTCTGGGTTCAAAATTTTTGCGGTTTTCATGGTTGAAAAACTCCCATCAAAGAAGGAAGATCGCTACATACTCCAGCCTAATAAGTCCGGTTGTTTAACGCGATGCAGTAAGACACATTAAGCGAGAGAAACCAAAGTTAGCAACCGCCCGTAATCAAGAGACCGCGTAGTAGACCGCAACACCAGAAAACGGCGCCACGTTGTGAAACAAGAGTGATTGCGAAAGTAAAAGCAGCTGTTTTAGGCGTAATTATGATTAGTGCTCATAATTAGTAGAGGCTCTGCCTTTTACGGCGCAGCTATACACAGCTTATCAACTGCAGTGTCGGGTGCACCAGCATCTCCGCTCCCGCGCGGCCGCTTCTCCTGAACTCCGCACCTCCTTCACGAACACGCTCTCTGATTACTTTCCCAGCGCGAGCGTATAGGCGGAGCCTTAATCGATTGGACATGATTGTAGAGCATTTTCGGGGAAGAGGTGGAGCTCCACACGGGAGTGAAGATGCTGGCTGGTGACACCCGACACTGCAATTGATAAGCCCTGTATTTCGAAACCAGGATCATGTATAAATCAATCCTGCACGCTGATCTCGCACAGAAAAGAGATAAAAAGGATACTTAGAGAGTTCACATCCTGAACTGATGCGAGAATACAGCATTACTATAGATCAAGTAATCGAAATTCTAGCGTTATAGGATTCTTCTAGAAGGAAAGTCAGCGATCAATAAAATGGAATGATAATGCCATAATGTAATATATTCTTTTCTAAGCGACAGCATGTAGCAGGTTGCGCAGTGACGACCATTTTGAAAGTATATATGAAAGAAATCACAATAACCATAAGTATGGCAATTCGGTATGCGAAAGAGATTTCCAAAACGTTACACGTGAAGAAAAATAAAAGGAAAGTAGGGAACTGTAGGGAACAACAAAGCGTGCAATCACTTGCGACGAAGATGATATTAGTCAGTCCATGGAACTGGTCGTACTGACTTCTGTGATGAATTATGAAGCAAGACAAGACAAGGACGCATGACCGCCTTTTAAATGAGTCATCGCACAGCTGATGAGCAATTGCGTTGGCGACCATCTAATGCAACAAACATCAAACGCAAACGAAACTGGGGAACTGAGAGCCTCAAACTGCTGATCAACAAAAACTTGGCAACTCAACTTTGGTAACTCAACTACTAGCGAAAGACCCTTACTTTCACGCAGGGGAAAAATTCTGTCATATCTGATCAATGTAATCCGCAGTCAACTTACTTGCTAACCAATAAACAAGACCGAACAACGCTCAAAAACTGCGGCTATTACTTTCAAGTCTTGCGATTCTGAAAACCCTAAAAATCACAACATGAACTAAGCCTCAACAGTCTAATTTTTTAAGTTTGCAAATTCGAAATAGTGAAGGAATATGGCATCCACTGCCGTGAAGGACAGTTTCACGAAGATGAAGCTAACAAAAGAATCGAATTTCCTCCGACTACATACCACAATGCCAGTTAGGAACCCGAACGACGAACGCGATCACGAGAAACTGCGAGCGAAAAAATGACGTATTGTTTTCTGCAATTGCAGACCACACTTCCCCTGCGCCGGCGGCCGCAACTGCACCAAGGAATTTATTTTGGCCGCAATTGTCATCGCCATAGAACATTTGAACAATCCTCATTATTTTTAGCTCCTTCTTATCACTTCATTCTTAAAGTCGTCAAGCTTCGTAATCTGGTGATATTCATTTTAGAAACGAGGGCATGGCGACAGCTGCATTAAGAGAGATAGGGATCTTTGTGAGTTTTCAGAGATTTTATTCGATCAGTTGGGGAAATGGTTAGTTCTCTTTAGGAGGATCTGGACAGTGTAATCGCGCAGGTTTCTGTTGGAGAGCAACAGCCCAAAGAGGGCCTCGACTCAGAGAATGACGATTATCTAAAGTGAGGCTTCAGTCAACACTTTTATCTGTTCACAGTCTTCCATTTACGACGGATTTTGTTAAGTAGAGGATATCCATTTGATAAGTCAATGAAACTACACCTGTTTCTTTTACCAGATTGAAAAAGCTCGAAAATGAACTCGATCACCTGCAAGTAATGGAGGATTATGTGAAGTTAGAGACGAGAAATTTGGAAAAAGAACTTCTCCACGCACAAGAGGAGGTTAGTTGTCTATTTCTCAATGATGTCTTTGAAGTATGGATTTGTAAATGAAACGTTACTTTTGTCTTGTTGCTGCATAGTATATTCACTCGATTTTACAGGTGAAACGAATTCAGTCGGTTCCCCTTGTTATCGGGCAATTCTTGGAAGCTGTCGACCAGGATCATGCAATAGTTGGAAGCACAACTGGTATGTGTTCAGCGTTATACAGTTTACATTTCCTTGGAACACAATTCGAAGTTTAGGATCTAATTACTATGTGCGCGTTCTGTCAATTCTTGATCGTGAGCTGTTGAAGCCAGGTTGTTCTGTAGCTTTACACAAGTACTCCAATGCGCTAGTTGACGTTCTGCCGCCAGAGGCAGACAGTTCTATACAGGTTGGTGTTGTACTTCATTCATTCTGCGTTTTACATGTGGGTTGCAGATGTTACGTCCCGATGAGAAGCCGGATGTTTCATACGCTGACATTGGTGGACTTGATATGCAGAAACAAGAAGTACGAGAAGCTGTAGAGTTACCACTAACTCATGGAGAGCTTTATAAACAGGTATCAAATTTGATATGGGTTGAGGTCTCGTTGAAGGTTCTTTTATCCTTACTAAGAAGGAAAAGCTGTTCATCCTTTGTAGACGTTAATTGACCCGCCCTCCAAAACGCATTTAATTCTAACTGTTAGCATCTAATTCAATGTATATGTCAGAATACCAAGTAGAGCAACACGACTATTGTGTCACTGAATTAATTGCCACACTGACAGATCGGAATCGACCCCCCTCGTGGAGTTCTTATGTATGGTCCCCCTGGCTGCGGAAAGACCATGCTTGCCAAAGCTGTTGCAGCCAACACGGCAGCATCGTTCATTAGAGTTGTCGGCTCAGAATTTGTGCAGAAATACCTTGGAGAAGGTAACTTGTCAAAATTTCGGCTTTGAAGTTGCGCCAATTTTGACGACTTCAGGTCCAAGAATGGTTCGTGACGTGTTCCGTCTTGCCAAAGAAAATTCACCTTCAATCATATTTATTGACGAGATTGACGCCATAGCTACAAAACGATTCGACGCACAGACGGGCGCTGACAGAGAGGTGAAATCCCTTTGGATCCATAGTTCTGTAGCTGTTTTGAGACGATTAATTAAGGTACAACGCATCCTTCTGGAACTGCTGAATCAAATGGATGGATTTGATCAAAGCACTAATGTGAAGGTGGGATGCAGCGTATCATGATATGCATTTGTTTTCTAAGATCTTCATAACCCTAACGTCTAGTAATTGTCATACAGTTGCATACTTATGTAAAAAATCTACCATATTGTAACTAACATTGAAGATTCTAGGTTATTATGGCCACAAACAGGCACGACACCTTGGACCCTGCTTTGCTTCGACCAGGTCGACTGGACAGAAAGATCGAGTTTCCTCTACCCGATAGGTCAGTTTACCCTTGGAATTACTGGATTTGGAATTGGAGCTGACCTTGGAATTACTGGATTTTAGGCGTCAAAAACGTCTTGTCTTTACTACCATAACATCGAAGATGAACCTATCAGATGATGTTGATCTCGAAGACTATGTTGCCAGGCCTGACAAAATATCTGGCGCTGATATCAATGCAATTTGCCAGGAGGTATCCTATTTCGTATTCGCTTGTTTACAGCTGATGACACGGTACTCAATTCTAGGCTGGCATGCACGCTGTCAGAGAAAATCGCTACGTCGTATTGACCAAGGACTTTGAGAAAGCATACAAAAACGTCATTAAAAAGGATCAGAACGACTTCGAATTTTACAAGTAACGAAAAGCTCGTTTTTCTTTGCAGTTTTGGCTTTTGTGTGACAATGTAACAAGAATTAAGTGAACTTCATCAACATTAAGCGATTTCTTTCTACAATAAATCATAAATTATTACCTTGTGCCATTCAAATAGTAACTGATCTTCACTGAATGAACTCAGTTATCCAGCCCTATGATGACAAGAACATTGCGAGAGGGTTTAACAATTAATTTGACATTACAAAGATCTGCGGACCCATTCCTCTGATAAAAACCAAGAAAAAACTGAATCAGTCTGATGTTAGTGACCAAGAGCTCGTGTAATTATACAGTGACAGAATAGAAAGCAACCGTGACATCGACTACACACTCTGGCGTAGTTGATTACGTAGCTCAATGACTTTTTCTCGATCACCAGGAGGCAGCATAGCGATCTCGGCTTCTGTCAGTCGCATTACTTGTACTAACAATTCTGCGTTATGTTGTTCATCCGGAGTGATCTCGGGCTGCTGTGGCGGCTTAAATATCCTTCCGTTAGTCCCCCATCCTCTCCTAATGAACACAAACCTGAGGAGGAACAGCAGGAGGTCGACCATACATTTGCTGTGGTGGAGGAACGAAACCGCCTTGAGAAACAGGTGCAGCAGCAGGCACAGCTGAATGATTAATTTTTGCTTGAACAATTCTCGATTGAAACAAGAATTTTTGTATTCTGTCATCTAATCATTCAATCCATCATCTCCTGATCGCCGCTCTTTCTAGTAATTCTACTCATAACAGGCAATGAAACAGCGGATTAAAGGCAGCGTCCAGGCAGATCTGGACCTTTGGAGATTTACGTGGAAAGTACTTTTGGAACCTAACTAAGGCACTGTCCAAGCGGCAGCGCAGGTAGTGCTCTAACGGCTGAGATATTCCCCTCAAAACTGGACCCCGCGATCGTATTCGCATGGATTCATGGCAGTTTTGCGCCAGGATCCACGCTTCGCGCCATGAATCCATGCGAAATACGATCGCGGGGTCCAGTTTCGAGGGGAGTATCTCAGCCGTTAGAGCACACTACCTGAGCTGCCGGTTGGGCAGTGGCTCAGTTAGGGCCCTAAAACTACTATCCACGTGAGATCCCAATGTGTCTAGACTTGCCTGGACGCTGCCTTTAAGGAGTTTGTCCGTTATAAGTTCTCATTACCGATCGATCAGATTCGGTCGCGTAACTACAATACGTTCGACGGGGCCAGCGCCGCGTAGTGCAGTCATACACCTGCCGAGCGCTACCGTGCTGCAGCGTGCAGGGACCCTGCGGTGCAAAGCCGCGTGGTCCTTGATAAGCTACTCTTCCTTCTTCTTTCTCAGCTTATTCACTGTCTTGCTTCCAAATTTCTGAGCTTTTCCTTTCTAAAACTCAGTGCCCTTTCTGAGATCTCTCAAAATATCACCGCGCGATTGAAGACAAAATGGAAGTTTGAGGTCTTGCAAAGAAAGTGTAGTTTAATCATTCATTTGAGAATTCTGAGAACGACTTGTGCTCTTCCTCCTACAGCTAAAGGTTATATCGTAAGGTGTAATCATGTATCGTGTAGGTTGAGAGAACAGTTTGAGTGAACAGCACGTTGGCGCTGTTCAGTGAAACCTAAGCGATATACGATTTCGTCCGTTGGAGCACAAGTCAATATAATGAATCATGACATTCGGAATCAGCCTTCCGAAGAAGGCCTGGATGAAGTGAAAGATGTCATGAAGAAAAACGCTCAAGAAAATGACACCTGCGAGAAAAAAACCATATCCGGTATCAAGACAGATCGCATATGAGCACAAGTGCAAGAAAAAGACAATCCGCTGCTGCAAAAGCGGAAAAATTACGAGATACAACGATAAAAACAAGGCCCGCGATGTTGTGCACAGCATAGTCCCTGCAGCTGCGCTACGGTAACGCTTGCGCGTAGATGTGTGACTGCACTACGCGGCGATGACCCCGTCGAACACATCGTACAGGGCTTATCAAACGCAGTGTCGCTTGCACCAGCATCTCCACTCCCGCGCTAGACTCTGCGTCTCCCGCACCATGCTCTCTAATCATTTCCAATCGATTGAAGCTCCGCCTTTCCCACGATCGCCCTGGGAAAGTGATCAGAGAGCATGTTCAAGGAAGAGATGCAGAGTCTAGCGCTTGAGTGGAAATGCTGATGCAAGCGACGCTGCGTTTGATAAGTCCTGTACATGATCTCACTACTACTCACGCTTTCTTCGAAAGCAAACTTTAGTCAAAGTGGTAATCTGCTTTGGCACATGAATTTTTTAATCAAGAAGATTGATAATGCTCCCTTCCTTGGCAGTTTCATGATTGAAAAGGGCTTTGAGAAAGAGCTACTATATTCTGACTAGTAAACCAGCAATTGAAGGTTCTAGATTGCATCCGCGCGCTTCGGAACCACCACGCGGTTTCCCGCTATTTGCATATTTTTGCATTGCGCTTACGTTTCTTTATATATTAGAATTAGATCGCCAACACTTTTCTCACGCCGACAGACACTCGACTTTCTGCTTGGAAATGATGTAATCAAAGCACAAATTTTGTCGTGCCACCTATTATCTGTGTGAAGGCAATCCCAGGTTAGTTCTTCAATTCTTCTTACACCTCACCAAACCAATTTAGGCCATCAAAAATGTGCGGCAATAAGCCATTGATCACATTATCACATCTTGTGCTATACCCCACCATTAAGCCTTGTAGAAATGGTGATTCTAAAAAGAACTCCTTTGATCCTTGCTAACATAATACCAGTTGGAAAAGCACTCAGCCATGTTGAAAGGAATTGTCAGAAATAAAATGTTGTGAAAGTCACGACGTCGTCAATGGGTTAAGGATTGTTAATTAGTGGAAAAAACTGACCTGGACCTGCAAACGGCGCTTGATGAAACGGCACCGTTGACGATGCCGGCTCTCTGTGCAACATTGCGATTGCAACCTGAGGATCCACAATGCGCATAACAACTTGAGCCTATAAAAAAACTCCAGCGCTGTACTCTTTGCGGTTAATGCTGTGATTTACAAACCTGAAGAAGAGCATATGCTAACTGTGGATTCTGGATAAGCATTTGCTTTGCTTCGCTTGGATTAGATCGCACAACATCCTTCATTTGTTTCATCAGCTCAAACATTTTCTCAGGCGGGAGTGAAGCCACGGTACGAGATATGGCCTGAATGAGTCGCATAAGCACCAAGGTGGCAAGAAGAAATGGTTGAATATCGCACCAATGTGAAGGTAGAATATGAAAGAAACGCACACCTCCGGCGCCCGACCTTCCTCTGGTTCGGGTCCATACGGGCTCTCTTCCACCTGAGCCGCACTTAGTGCAGCTTGTAGCTGTTGTATCTCATCAGCACTCCGATCACCGCCGGCAGCGCTATCAACACGTAACTGCCGACCATTGACTTCGTATCTGAAAGAAGTTGGACTGCTAATGTTTAGATCTTTCAAATGGTTGCTATAGGGCTTTGCCTGATCGTGAAGGTCGGTGAGTTTGCATCCATTGCTCGCGCATTTAACTTTCTCCGTCTTTCTCCTATCAAATAAATGTTACTTTCAATCAGTTCTTACACTGGTTTATGATGTTGCGGCATCCTGTGTGAGCTCCGCAAGCCACCGACCTCTACGTCTGGTACCTATATATTCAGTGGTATATACAGTCGGTATCAACTATGTCTCCCTGTCCGATCAGCTCAAGCCGTGCCGCGTTCGCGGGCGTACAGCTTGAGCTTGAAGATTTGTCACATCGATCGGTAGTCGCTGCGGATGCGTAGTTGACAGGAAAAGGAGCACGTGGTCGACACAGAGTGTATGATATAATGTGCGAGCAATTCCATGGAAATACGTGATCACTTCAACTTCGTAACTCTAGTAAATCAACTTCTTAGCGCAATTGAAGAAAGCAGTATTCCTAGCACAGTTGAAGAAAGCAGTACAAGTAGCTGCATAAATCCAAGGTAAGTTGTCATAAGAAAGGTGGAAAAGCATAATGGTACGTTGCAGTGTAAGCATACCCGTTTAGATTTCGAATAGCTAGTTCAGCTGTCTGCACGTCCAGAAATTCTATAAATCCATATCCCTTAGGTTTGCCAGTTTCTCTGTCATGTACCATTTTGATGTGAACAACATGTCCAACCTTGAAGTCAACGTGTATAGGCAAAGTATATCAACAACAAAACAACAAACGAACCTTCGAGAAGATCTGACGGATGGTATCTTCGGGTACCTCGTAGGAGATGTTCCCAACTGCAAAGATGAACTGATTAGAATACCGCCGCTGGCTAGCGTTAACGGTGTTCTACTTTATAAGAAGCATCACATATTATGAGTATGCAACAACAAAGCATCTTCAGCATTTTATAGCTTTTTCAGTGCGGCTGCTAGAAAAAATATGCTTTCTCATGTAATGATCAGATAACCCAGAGATTTCGAATGGTCAACGAGTTGTCCAACATGCTCCTCCGATGACAGAGACTCCTCGGGGAAGAAACGATTTGAAACAACTTACGCGCAACCGATGTATTATTAATCCTATTTGGGAACATAATATAGATAAACGTAAATACAAAAAACATACCGAAAACGGAACGCTGAGACCTGTCTACTTGCATTTGACCTGAAACAGAAGACATCTTCGAGATGGAGACTTGCAGATCTTCGAAATAAGCAGAACTGAGAACAAAAAGGTTTTCGGGCAACGGTAGGATCTTGAACGAGGATTGAAGGTTTTTGCAAGTGCACTGGCATTCGGGCGCAGCTTCCACTTTAGAGCAGCTAAATGAGCTGACAAACACTTGGGCTCGTTCAGACAAAGTGACTTGTAATCGTCTTGAAAACGTGCTTCGAATTCAGGTGTGCGCGATTCTTTACAAATCTAGGGCTATACTATATTCTGAGGGTGTACGTTCGTGGGAGAGGGGTAGATTGTGCAGTCAAAGGCACCGTTCACGTAGATTCTCGACTTCCAGGTTTTTGTCAAAGGCCTTCTCGATGTCCCTGTTTCCGAATATGGGGTCGAGAAAGAGCGAAAACCTTGGCAATCCCCGTTTTGGAGAACCCTCAAACCGGTTCTCCGGAGCGGTGCTTAGTTGAGCACGGTTGGGCGAGCATGGATGGGGGAGTGCGGTGCCGTCTGGGGTTCTCGTGCATCTTCGTTATTCCGGAGCGATTTTCTCACTTCCGAAGGGACATTTTACGCCTCGATTGGGCATTGGTGTGATAGAGGGCCTTACTAACATATGCTGCCAAAAGCTCAAGACCCCAACTTAGGGTGGACGGTGCCTCTAATTGTAAGGAGACTCGAGAGCGCTTCGCGGAAGAACTGGGAAAGAATATCGCATTTCCAGAAAGAATATTAGCGAACACTATACTTTCTGGGTTCTAGAACGGATGATACTTGAAGAGATTCAAGTCAATTTTCTTCTTGAAAATCATGCTCAGGGCGCATTCTTGCGTTTCAATGCACTCATGAGTCACCACCAAGAGGCTAGACTGCACCTTGTTCAATCTGTCAAATGGAAATTTCGAAAGAGAGTGATAAGGTGCCTATTCACAGAATGCTAGGCGTTTTCGCAATGACGCCCACTCACGTTTTTGACTCACCCTCGAACAAGTCTTCCTCACAACAAGATTTTTTTAGTGATTGATGACAAAACCGTGCAGAACTAGCGTGCAAAAAAAAAATCCAGCATGAAAAGTGTATTTTGGCTTCTCAGATAAAATCTCTTTAGTTTCGAGAGCACTAAACGTTGATTTTGAATCTGTTTTTGGTATCCATGTCTCTGCACCCTATACATTGGATACTTTTTGTATGATGGCTCATACACAAGACTGCCTTAGACTGTGTGCTCTAGAGGCCTTGAGGATTGATATAAATGAATCATGCGTTGCCTTGATTTTTTGACGTCCAGAGGCGTACAGCAGATGACAAAGAGAAATTTGGGCTCAACAAAGGTGCAAGAACCTTATTTGTATCCTTCTGCTATTAGGTTGATTCACAAATCATTGAATCGTTCGAAAAAGGTTAAAATGATGTTTTTTATATTGCACACCTTCGAAAGATGTGAAAGGAACAAAATTGGTGCAGAAACAGGAGTAGGAACAAAAACAAACAAAAAAACGGAAAATTGTAACTGCTCGTAGACAAGTCCGATGGGCACGCATGCCTCTCAAAAACATTAGCTACCACAATCAAAGGTAAAAAGGGCTTTGTTAGTTTTTCAAAGTAGTATATCCCCTATCTTAAAGAAGCACCATTTATTTATTTTATTTATTTTCAGTACACTCAAGGTGCGCCATAAGAGGCGAAACAGGACTATTTTTTCTAAGAGAATTTTTATAATAAATGAAAAAATAGACAAAGCAACCATGAACAAGCGAGAGAAACCAACCATTCTCAATCGCAGGGAGCTGAATAAAATAGGAAAATAGATAAACGACATAAAAGACCCCCACCCCCACTATGTTTGATTTCTGATTCCAAACTGCGTTTCTATGAAACTGCAGCGATAAGGATCCCTGTAAAGTGACATTGTATACAAATTCTTTATTTTTGGGTTACCGTACAAAATCAAAGCCTGCCACAGTAACGTATGTATGTTCTGCTGTGTAAGTAATTTTTACAGATTTTGAGCTAGCTCGGCGATTTTCTAGCATCTAACTGAAAATCGCAAAATTCGGAGCGTGTAGTTGATAGCTTCGTTCCCGATACACTGTATTGCAAGATTTTTTGACATTAGTGCAAGCTACGATCTTTTAAAAGTTTTGGCGTAAGACTTATAAACCAACATAATACATTTGTAGCTTGCATATTTGTCCTCCAAGGCAATCCCTCCTCCGCGAGATTTCATTGCGTAATGGCACAAATATGCGGATAACTGCAACGGCGCTGCTAATCAGGGGCTGAAGAGATCATTCGCTGAGTATTCCTCCCTCCATGGGTGTTTGTATGGTAGGATCTTCCTCCACCTTCTCATTCTTTGAAGCTGAATGTCTGAACTCCTTTTTTAGAGCCAAGAAGAGGAAATCCGACAATTAACATTGAATGCCGCTCCAAACTACATCAAAGAGAAAGAAGATCCGAAGCTTGCACCAGAGCATACCATCTACAATTATGACTGCGTGAAAGTGATTTTTGAACTTATTAACCAAATTATTTGGAGAATTTTGAAGTTTCATTTTGCCTTGAAAAAATCTTTGAAAAGCGGAGTTTCTTTGAGTTCATTCAAAAATTGCTTCATTCACCAAAGAAACTACTCAACTACCAAGGGTGTAGATTATGATTCTCACAAAATGCTGAATACTTCACTGAAGACGTACTCAACTAATTGACTAATTTTGAACAATATATTTTCTTGGAACTTCTACAAAAACAGCAACCATTTAAAGTAAATTTATTTATTTATTTATTTATTTCAATCTATAGAGAAAAACTATTGCTTTCTAAGACATGATCATTACACCTGTTACAATTTCTCTAATCTATTGTCATTTTATTTAGAGTAAAAAAGATCGAGAGAAATTGGCCGTGCTCAGTTGTCCACATTCCGTCGGTTTTCATCCGGACCGTCTCGCTATCGTCGATTTGGACGAAAATAGCGAAAATTACTGCAAGGTATGATCCGATTTAGTATAAGCAGCTCTAGCTGCACAGATAAGTAGAACTCTAGGTCTAGCTGTAAATGAGTAGGGAATCTTTGATGTCTCAAAAATCACGTGTTCACGGTAGCTACAAGCGTAAACTTCAAAAACATTTACTCAGACAAATGACCGGAACTTCCGCCGGGTCACCTGGGGAAGTTCCGAAAATAGGTCCTGCGGAAGTTCCGAAGAATGCCAACCACAACAGCAAAAGAGAACACCGAAGCGAGGTTTGAATCTCACTCTATTGACTGTGAGACCCACCCACTATCCCCTACGTTACGGCTGACATCTTCGATAATGCACTCTAGTTGTTGGCGAGGAAATATCAAGAGACAACACATTCAAAATTCTGCGGTTCTGGCAGGCCAAAGTGCTGCAAAACCTCTGGCATTTTTCTGAATTTCCGCAGGATTTTGAAGAAGGTTCTGCGGAAGTTCCGGTGATTTGTCTGAGTATATTATTGGGCAACTTGAATTCATTTTTGGTGTCATGTCGTTTAAGTGCGCCGACTCACGGAGGCGATTTTGAGAGTTGGAAAAATAAAGAAAAACCTTCTGCTTATGATTGCAATACGGAAAAGGCAGTGAGCGATGAACTGGTGCCGCATCCAAGTCCAGGTTTGACTGGTACACATAGCAAAAGATCTTTAAGAATAGCATCTGACCACGATCCTGTGCATCGAGATTGAGTTGAACCATCAAAGTCTATTGATCTCTATAAAGTTTAGGTACTTTCTGTACTGAGCTTTCCCGATGTCGGTGATGAGCCAGGAAGGATTAACTGGACTCAATCTGCTCGTAGTCTTGAGACAATGGCAGAGGTTGGTAATGAGATAAATCTGCTATTTTCAAAGTATAAAGAGCTACAGCGATTTTACAGGTAGCTCGAACACATATGGTTGTGCCTTGCATGGATACGAATCGGGTCTACATAGTGGAAGTGGATGAGAGTAGCATGAAAATTGTCAAGGTAAAATTTCGGAAAAATAGTCTTTTCAGTCGCTCGCTGAAAATTCCAACTCTTTCCTCGCATACGACCATTATATTATACTTACTATAAGAGCTAAAATACGATTCTTCACTATTTCTCATGGCTTTCGAAGAATTTAGGATTACTATAAAATGCTTTGCAGACAATAGGCGCAGAACTTCTTGGACACTACGATATCTCCTGTCCATATGCCGTGCATGTCTTGCCACTCAAAGGTGCTCCTGTTCATGTTGCCACAATGGGAGATAAGGATGGTCATGGCAAAGGTCAGTGAGAAAATCTACGAGAGAAATCTCAAGTACTCTAAAAAGTTTTGATTTTGTCAGTATTTTGATTGTTTCATTGATCTTTATAACCATGCACGGGCGTGAAAGGGGTATCCTGCGCCAAAATTGGATAGTTAACTGTGGCTAAAAAATCTTCAGAAAAGAAAATCGTATGAGCGAAGAAAACAGCATTTCCGGTAGAAAGCCTAGATGCCGAAAAACCTTTTTATGAAGTCAATCACCGGAACATCGAAGGGGAATGATAGTTCTCGCATATGTCACGTCTATATCCATCTTTAAAGACTAAATGGTGTCAAATTTGTTCAAGTTTTCTTCTTTGCTTTTTTCTTTTTTCGGTGTACCCTTAGTGTAATAGTAAATAAATAAATGAAATAATACATAAACAGATGTCTGGTTACTGTTACATCTGGTCAGTTTTATACCTCGTAAGATCTGTCATCGATTTCTGCGTTAGGATGTAGGGGATGATGAAAAATTTAGATATCTAAGAGAAACTTGGGCGCTGAACTAGTTGGTTAATTCTTATTTTCGCAAAGTAAAAAAATAATTGTGCTTGTGATTGCTTTTATCCAGTCATTGACGAGAGTTTGAGGCCAGAAATATAATGAATTCGCGAGAAGTTTTTAAGCCTTGTGAATTAATAAAGAAAATTTTGTAGCTTAAAAGAACTAGTCCACCCATTTTTTTTCTTTGAGTGTACAAACCAGTTGTAGTCACTGCCACACACTTTTATTAGCAGCATTATCTCATTTTAATTGTACTGAATGAACCACAAAACAATAATAAAAAATCTTTTAAGGTGACTTTCTGCTGATTGACCGCAACTCCTTCGAGATACGCGAACGCCACAACCGCACCGGATTCGCAGGTTTTGGAGGTGACTTCAGCTTTCAAACCAGGAGAAATCTCTTGATAGCCAGTGAGTGGGGCCATCCACGACTTTTCCGGAACGGCTTTACTCGCAGCGAGATCGAAAATGGTTGGTGGTAGGGAGTGAACGTTATATGAACTGTGGGATGTCATTCAGTGTCGGAATCGTTCGGATGTCAGCTGCATGTTTGGCAAATTTCACCGGGAATTTTGAAGGAAAGCATTGATCTTGGAGCTTATGATGGTTGTCTGACTACAACAATTCGGTGAGTACTGGCTGTAATTTACAGTATCATGGCGAAAAACATTCTGGAAATCTAGCTTCCTACATAATCCAGAATGCAATCATGCGTTTGCCTGCTCTGCAGTAGGTTCGTCCGTGTTCCATCTCCATATGAACTCTGTCAATGACAAATGGAGCGCAGACAAAGTCTTCCATGTAGATCCAATACAGGTCTGAGTTAATATTCCTTGACTGCTCCATGCAAAGCTAGCATTGCAGGTGGAGAATTGGCTCTCACCTGAGATGCCCGCGCTTCTCACGGACCTCGTAATATCCATGAATGACAAATTTGCATATGTAGCTGGCTGGCTTCATGGATGTATATGGCAATTAGACATAGCAGATCCCTTTCGAGTTTCACCTTTAAATAAGGTGACAATTTATTTGAGTTCAAAATCACGGAAAACCCATCATGAGGTAGCATGCATAGGGTGCAAGAACAATTAGTACTTTGTATCTCTTCTCAAACCTATCCTCAAATCAGACAGAGTACTAACAGACAATTGCTTAAGCGGTACCCGACGCAATTTTTCCTTCTCTTTACAAAAATTCGTGACTGCTAAATCAATTGTGGAAGTTCTATACCCAAAGCTTTTGCTGTGCAATTTGAACATGACCCTTTCCAAAACTGTTGAGTTGTGATACATTGAAAGCAATATACGCTTGACATTTTGGAATCAAGCTCTGATATAAACGATTTCAACCTCTAAATTCCAACTTTTCGTAGGGTTTTATCTTTTTTGTTTTGCGCAACTTTTAATCGAGGGTTTTCGGAGAAATCTATCATTGTAATCGATCATCCAACAAGCTCTAAAGCCCTGAAGGGTAGTTTCCGAAAACTAGTAAATGTGTACAAAAGAAGGGGTTTACTACCGTGTGATCGAATTTTCCTCTAACTAGAACGATTTTGAAGACTAGCTAAATCAGCGCAAGGAAACCATGAGTTCATCCAAAGACTAGGGCCATTTTGAAGGAATTAAATGACACGACTGCGGAAAAGAAAACCTTTGAGCATAATTTAATGTACCTTTGTATTTATTCTATTCTATCTGTCGAAAGGCTAAAATGGGTGGACAGTCCTCAATTCTAACTCAGCACAGGATTTATCAATCTTTAAGATAGTGCTTGGAGGATTCCTAGGCGGGATGTGCGATGCATTTATCAAATCACCATCAGTCAACAATTCAGTGAGTTAGCATTTCTTAAGTTTTTCTCCCAGCATATTCAAATTTAGAAAAACTCGAGCGAGTTTGCTTTCGACTTGGGAGTCGTGGCTCCCAGGAAGACCACAGTTGTCTGCGGTGTGATCTTCCGTGGTGGACCCGCTTTTCTACAGCTCAGTGTCGATGGCAAGCGACTCTATGCTGGAAACTCCTTCTATAAACAATGGGACGCCCAGTTTTATCCAGAACTGATTGCGTGTGTCAGAGTTACATATCCCGATTCATTACTACAAGCATTATTTCAGAAAAGGAGGACAAATCGTGAGGGTAGACATCAGCGATACGAATGAGATGTCTCTCTCCGACACGTTCTTAATTGATCTTCAGGTGCACTTTTTCATTATTAGGTTGTAAGGAAAGTTCTGCCAATTCTGCTTGTAATACCAAAAATGAAAGCGAACGCTAGGGCTGGTTCGAAATGCGTTCTTAGTGTGTGATGGCCCCAGCCAGATAACATGCTATTCAGCTCGAAAAAATGACGATAAACTAGGAAGAAATGCCTAAAAAGGAAAAAAGTCCGTTGCGCTCTGGTCTGCAAAAACGCACATTTTGTAGATTATGGACGCGCAGGAGGTTGTAGCCCCTTTGAACCCTTCGCCGCGATGCTCGTTTCGCCGCGTGCGGCGCCGCTGGCAAAGCTAACAAGTCGCATTTACAGTAAACGGGGAAAATTCTTAGTTTGAAGCATGTAATATACCTGTGCCAAAACCTATCATTATGTTGGACACGAAGATGTATAAAAATGAACGAGCATTAACTCGTTATGGCAGTGGGCATGTTGGCCAATCAGGGACGCCCTGTGATAGCGAGCGGTTCAAAAGGGCCGTTTCCCCGCGCAGCACTTTCGGAAGCTTGATTTGAAAATCCGTTTTATACCATGTGTATTGGCTGGGTGAAGCAATATCCGACTATTACTTGCCCCGTGTTTGAGTTTTTTTGCAAGCAAGAAATAACTCATTAAGTTCAGGGTTCATCAAGTCGAACTCTCCACGTGTTTCGAAACGCAGCTAGCGCTGAAAAAGAGCATCTATGATACACAACTGTATCTAATCAGTTTGTAAGGTTGTTAGTACACATTACCAAAACATCGCTAATTGATAACCACTCATGATGAAGATATAACCTAATACCTACACATTCGCGGCCTGCATGGTATAAAGTAAAGCAGCTGCCCAAGCTTATCCTAGACTCATTTTCCTTTCTATGTTCATACAGGCGAATAAATCAGCGATCAAAGAGTCCAATCATATTTGTAAATCATGGAGTAAAGAAGAGATTGAAGAAATTTCATGTACTTGTACTATTTTTGAACACACATCGACACGCGGTTACAAGACATTGCCTTGTGTAGTACCACTTCTTTTTGTATGAGCTAATATAAAGCAAAAAATTCTCATAACTGCCGCTACTTGTAGCTAAGTATTTGATCTATCACTTTTTCATTGAGTCAAGAACGTTTCGATAATCTCTCCTCAGAAAATTTGGAAATGTTTGAGTCTAGAAAAAAAAGTTAAGCCTGAGTTACTACAACCTTACTTTTTCGACTAAGCAACTCTTCCTTTGCAAAAGCAAGCGTTTGAGATCGTAGCCGATCTATATTGAATACTCCAAAAACAACACAAGCTACAATGAGCCAAACGTTTACAGGATATGGAAGGAGGTCCTTTCTTGGCAAGAGATCTACGCTTTTTCAATGGCGATTCAACGAGTGATAATTTCTTGTAAAAAAGTGTGACCGCGTATATGGCCTATAATTTGTACAACATTATTTGCTTCCGCTCACGAAACGTACCGCAAATGAATGATTCAAATTCTGTTTGTGATTGTTATTCAAAAGCGGTGTTTAGCGTTCTCATGTAAAAATATGAGAATCTGAAAATAAATGAATGCAACATCTGGAAATTGAATTCTATGTTCTTTGTACAACATCCAATAAGAACTTTGTGAGCCTGAGCTTTCCCGTAAATTTGCGGCAAAGACAAAGGAACAAAAATTCAGCAAACGAAGTCGCTTTGATGCAGAGTGCAAAGATCTGAATTTCAGATCTATATGCTTTAGACAAAAAAAAATGAATTTTTGAAAAAGCACTTGAAGAACAGAGTCGTCACTTATTGATTCAGAAGGAAAACCTGTCACGCTTTCTGAAGTAAACCTGAGACCAACACCGATGAAGGAGAGTGATAATAACATTGCTTTCAAAGCAACTCAGACCAGAACAAGAAGATTGAGATATTAAAATACAGCTCATGTTTATAACAAATCCGAATTGGGATGTTCACGTTTGATCCGTAAGTGTTCAAATTTCCAAGCAGATATTATACATAAGTGTTGGGCAATTTTCCACATCTGTCGTCAAAAATTGCCATTATTTTTGCGAATTGGTACCTCATCCCAGCTATGCACGATAACAAGAAAAGATAAGATTTATCGAATCGCAGTTCAAGTCCACATCTATTTAGAAAGCCTATGTATTCAGTCCTCTTCCTCCTCTTCTTCAAAATGGCCCTCTATACCACTCAGATACTGAGTGAATGACGTTACTTCGGATCCACTTCCTCCTTCTACATCTGCAACTCACTCACATATACAGGATGTTCCAAAAAAATGTTAACACTGTTTGATCGTTAATAACTCCCTTGATTTCGTATCTTTAGGCGAGCTTGAGGCACCATTCTGTAGAGCGAGGTTAAACTTAGATTCATAGTTTGAAGCGAATCACCGTTTGCTCTTCTTTTCTGTAGGATTGCGGTAAGGAATTCCAGCATATGGAACCGTCGTGAAGTATGCCCTCTGACAAAATTTTTTTCAAAAAATCTGAAAAATCGTATACTAGGGTTTTCGCGCACGCTGATTTTACTACACAACTTTTTACAAGTGTTTTCAGCATTTTTGACGGTATAATCACATTTTTGACACATGCTGAGAAGTCATTATTACACTTTACCTAGGATAACTTCGAAAAGAAGTATCATAATGAAGTGGAAATTTCATATCCGAAATCAGCGGCTTTCATTATCATAGTACAAGAGATTTTGGCTTGTTTGGCTCTGTTTCGAAGCAGAAAATGGCCTTCAATGGCCTAAAATCCTTGTCAAATTTCCTACCGTAATTCTACAGTAAAGAGGGGAGTTAGATTATTCGCTCCATACTGGGAATCTAAGTTTAACCTCGCTCTGCAAAATGGTACCTAAAGCTCGGCGAAAGACTTGAAAGCGGAGTTATTAACGATCAAACAGTGTTAATATTTTTTGGGACACCCTGTATAAGTACTAAAAAAGGCTACAAAATAGACACACCTGAGGCTGGGAACTGAATCGGTGGAGGAAGCAAACCCCTTTGCTCATAGTGTCGAAGATAATTACAGAGGTGTTTTAGACGTCTTTCTTTGCTTCGACGGTTTTGAAACCATACCTGCGAATTTCTTAAGTATGCCCAAATGTTGAAATACAAAGATGAATAAACTCACTTGTATGACTCTCATGCTAAGGCCAGTCTCCAAAGCGAGTTTTGCTCGAGCATGTTTCGAAGGCTTAGGCGTTGAGGAAAAAATTCGATTTAGGACATCCAGCTGGAAATAAATATCTCTAACTACCAGACTAGCTACAGGCTATAAGCAGTGCAAGAGGTTTTCTATCGTTACCTGGTTCTGTTTTATAGTTGTTCGAGGGCCACGGCGTTTAAGAAATTTATTGTCATCATCGCAAAAATCAGAAAAGGGATATGAATCGAAATTGTACGCGAACGTATCCACTTCCTGCAAACAATTTTGCAGACCTGCGCTTTAACTCGTCTTGTTTGTACCTTTTTAATTTGAAATTCATTGAACTGTTCTGCTTCGAATCCGCTTGGTTCTGTTGAGCAGCTCGGAAACGCAGTTTGACGCTGTTGCTCTGAAGATGTTGACAGAAAATTTGTTTGGAGGACAAGATGGGTTTGTTTATATCCATGTTGGAAAAGAGTATATATAGGTTGGAATGAGATACCTGCCGCACCATTTCCAAAAATTTGTAGCTTCTTGATTTTCAAAAGATTTGCATGCATTTAATTTCATTTCCAAAAGGAAACCATGCTCTTTTTGACTGCATGAAGTGTGCTTTCCAATACGCGCATATTGCGCATATAGAAGCGCAGGTAAAAAAATCACTCAAATTCTGATTTTCGTGGATGTGGTCATGAATCTGAAACTTGCGAAAAAAATTGAAACAGGCAGTATTCTCGGCTTCTTAACCTTCTTCTTCTATGCGAGCAAATTCTGCTCTATTACTAAAAGTTATGATTTTTGAGAAAAATTCCATAAAATCAAATTTTCACTTCTGTACAGCTACGAATTTTCGAAAACGATGCGACGAAATTCTCGTTCCAACCTTACATTTATCTAGAAGGGAAGTTCACAAATTCTTTGATAGAAACGGTTGTCTTGAATCAGAAAAACAAGGCATTGGAAGGCCCTTATTTTTATCGTAAATTTTACAGTCTCGCTGGTCACTGAAAGCTAAGTCTGACAGCTTCCATCTACGGTTTTAAACATATGCTTTTTGCCCCATTTTTGTTTAATGGAAAATCACAGCAAGTCAGAGTAATGATTTGTAAAGTTGTGCAAGTGACTCGCTCTAATGTGTATAATCAATAAATTTTCGAATACTTCAAAATCAATTGCAAAAACAAAATTTAAGGCTCATTAAAAAGTAGGGTGTCATCTCAAAAGATTTTTCGGAGGGCTGGACCGCCCTCCACTGGTATATCGTTAGTATGTATCACTGAACATGTTTATGATTTTTGCAAATTTCACCTTAGGGCGCCGAAATTTGATGCAGGAGTAGGAGAGTGCGATGAAAATGATCATTAGCCGTGGAAAGATGCTAAGAAATAAATAAAGCATGAAAATAGGTCACCATGCAAAAACCTACAAATAACATACTGGGGGCAAGGGTTGGATGATTTAATCTGTGACCAAAACAAGATTCACGCTTCAATATTACAGTTCTGCAAATTTCATGCAATTCATGAGGAGCTGCAGGTAAAATGGTGAGTGAAAACAATAAGTAAAGCTGTGGTAATTATGCGGTTTTTCGTATGTTTCCACATTCCGTGATAGAAAAAAATGAGGGAAAGCTTGGTCTATGAAGATTGAGATGAATTTCACTGGCCAGTTGAAGCAAAAAGGCTTCGACGAGAGAGATTTTGTAGAACAGGTACCAATCAACAAGTATTTTAGTTTTTAAATTCATTGCTTGGCCCTCAATCATATGGATTGAGTAACGATTGTAGCGGTTCCTATAGATGCAATCTTCTCCGATTATTACCGCAATTGTAACCAAAAATGGGTGCAGTCAAAGCACCAGCCATGAATATGGTTTCTCGCTGAAGCACATACATCACAGTGGCGTACTATGTTTGCTTACACCTTTCTGTGCATATTCACAAAATGCAAAGAATGGCTGACATTCGTTCTTTCTCCATGCATAAACAATTCCCTGATGATGAGCGTTGAAAGGCGGATGTATTAGTTGAAGATTTAGCCATATCCTTTTTCGAATAAGTGCATTGTGTACGACCAAAAAGAAAAACATTGCCGGAGTCTTTTCAATCTTCCAGATTTAGTTGTGTCCCATTTGCGCCGATCGGGGTTCTCTTTTGCAGTAGCATAATTACCTAACATTCGTATACACAGACGATTTCATTTCACTTACAAGTAGGAATTGAGGTATCTTCTTATTGTTCCTGTTGAGCTTAGGATCATCGGAACTCTGCAGTGAAAACGCTTTATAAGCGTTCTGATGTGGAACATGCTAGTCTTTTCTTGCGATGAGGGCAAAATTCGGCAAGTTAGTGTAGTAGATCCATAACGCGAATCACCTACGTTTCCCGATCGCACATTTGTTGCAGTAGATGTCGCTCCATTTGAGCAAGGTTTGAAAGCAATTTGTTCAAGAAAAAATCAGTTTCCATGAACAAGAAAAAATCAATTTCTATGAAAACATATGAAAAATCTCAATGTTCAAGAGAGCCTGTAGAAGCGGTTTCGCACAGCTCTCCATTCCGCTGAAATTCTGTAGGCTACCTCCCCCTAAACTTTTGAAGCTTCCTTGAGAGCTACTGATGGGGGGCACCGAGGAAGCTGCACTATCGGTATAGTGTTATTGTTAATCCCAAAAAAGGGAAAGTCTCATAACGGACACAAAAATTGTGAAATTTTGTATCTTCTTGGTAATTATATTCTAATCTCTCATTTGTTTCATTATGGGTACGCAGCAAGACAGAATAAGCTTGGTGTTCTGTTCAGAAAAATGTTCCGCTGGAAAGCAGAGTTGAGCGTGGATTCGTTCTGAGACTCATGTGACATACATAGGTATATGACTTTTAGATCAAAACTTCAGCTTCTTTTCCTACCCTGGTGGTTGGACAAGGCATTTTGAGCTAAACAGATAAGTTGATCGAACAGAATCCCAAAGTGAAGAACAAACAATGACAGTGGATGCCCTCTTCTTTCAAACAGAGTTATTGTAGATAAGATGATCAGCGCACTATTAGAAGACTATCAGTTATGTGCATGCGGTCGCAATTACAATTAGATTCGATTACCTTACAAGGGAAGGATGGCAATTGTGACCATTCAAAAAATTTTGCAAATCAAGAAATGCTTACAATGCTGGTTCGAAAACTGTCTTCCACATCTGCGAAATGATAACCTGGATAATGATTATCTCTTCAAAAATGAATTCCGCTAATGCGGAGGGTCGAAATCATCAATAAATTTTCTCTATTTCTAAAATGCTGATTTTGATCTGGATAGCTATAAAGACAACGGAACTCCTTTTAAGGTTTCTTAATACTTCAAATGGTAAACTAGAACAACATTGGTGAATTTACCTACCCAAAAGTACACCAATGTTCTGCGAAAAGAAAAGTTTAAAACTTCTTCAAAAGATCGCTTCGCAGATATCGAGCATAGATTTAGAATCAGCGTTTCGAGATACATCTTATGGCATAAATCACATTTCAAATGACCGCGGTCACCAAGTATGCTTCCCTTGTTAGTAGGACCCTATTTCAATTTGGAAAATCATATGCGAGTACCCTCAAAAAGAAAGGGAGCGAGGTTCCGACGCTATTTCTGTGCACACATATCAGAACACAAACTACTGATAATTTTCTACAACATTGTATTCGTTAATAGTGGTTAGAAGACAGCTTGTTTAGGAAAAGAAATAAGAAACTTTGATATACGACTACTTGATTCGGTTATTAAACACTAGAATTTATGAGCTAGAAAAGGAAGACGGAAAGAGAAATGCTCTGACGAGGAGGAACGGCAAAATATGAATCTTTACCGTCATAGAAATGTTGCATACAAGCAACAGTTTGAGCAATTTCGTCCACCAAAATCTGTTCTCCAGGCGAGAGACGACGTCCACATCGAATGCATGAATGGCAGTCTACGTGAAAGACCATTCCAGTCTGCAAGAAGTTGTGCTAGAATAGATTGGAGGAATTTTCAAATTATGGAAAAAGTGTCTTTGCTTACCTTCAACTTGTACACCATATCGGTGGGAGAGATACCAACTTTACATCCAGAACATCGAAAAGGACTACAGTCCCTGAAACCGAATTTTCGCAAAAATACTATGAGCTTTTTGGATTCAAATATTCACTTATAGTAGTGTGTACTGCAGTAAAACTGATTTTCTTTTTCATAGCATTTGTCTTGCAGCTGAACGTCGCAGACACAACATCGGACGCAATTTTCATGGTAGACTTTCGTGTCGATCTAAAACTAGATTAAATAATCAAGCCAGGAAAAATTGCAATCAACGAAAGTAAGAAGCAGCTTCAAGCACAAGCACATGAGCATTTGAGCATCTTCACTCACTCTAATCATATACCTGTCGTTGATTTTACCGGAACATACCCGGCACTTCCCCTAAAGACCCCCTTCGCATTATTTTCTCTTCCCTTGAAATCCAACAGAAAAAAAAACTGACCTGGTTCTCAGAATCAATACCAATCGACTCTACAACATGTCCCATGGCGGACAAAGGTGGTTTCGTCTCGACGAACTCGAATTCGGAAGCCATTTCGAGGGTGGCTTACTGTAGCCAGCCGAAGATCGTTTCCGGACGGGTGCGGGGCTCCAATCCTCGCCTTGGAGGAGGTGCCTGACAGGGCGGCGCTGACGAATTGGGTTCCAGCTCGCGCATCTGTCACCGTGTGCATCGAATATTAATGCCGAACTGTCAGTCGTTTGCATTTTCGACAACTTCTTCGGCCAGCCAATTCATTCTCGATGTGGTTCTGAGTGGACGTAAGAGCTACTAAAAATAGCTGTTGAGCACTGCTTACGGGAAGCAAATCTACATTCGACAACGATGGTGGGGAAGCCGTTGCAAAAAAACGTGGACGTTAGCAAAGATGTCCGAGGATTTTGGCTCTTATTTGCAGCCTTGTACTGATATTTCGTGCAGGGTTCCCTAAAAACTTATCCAGTTTGAGTTAATTAACACATTTACGACAATACGACCCACCGGTGGGCCGCAAGATTTCTGAAGGTCCAGCTTTGCCAGTTCACGATGGAATTCTACGGGGTTCTGGCACACGATCGGAGACACCTAGGCGATGCACCAGCCAGAGTGGTCCGGGCTCGGGATACTGTAATGTAATATTACCGTAGTATACCGTAGACAGAGATAAGGCACAGACTTTAGCCCAAATTCTTCGCAGAATGGTACAGTTTTCTGAGCATTCAAGTATACATGCACGAGAATATGGGGCGAGTAAGAGATTGATGTAAGCCCAACAAAAACTATCGATTCTATTAATTTTATTAACTTTTGCATTGTTCATCTTGGAAGCTGAAATCTTACATATATAGGTTTTGTAGAATGCTGATTACGAGAACTTTAGTCTCAATTCCTAGTAGTGCCTTCTTAGATCAGTTTTTTAAATTTTACGAAAATCCCACAGTACTGCTACCGTAGTTCCACTGTGGGAAAGTAGTGAACAATTGGACTATAATCGTGGTCAGCACATGAATTAACCCCAAAACATTTTTTTCCATGAAAATCCATGTTGGGTTCTTGCAGAATGACCACCGTAATCTTGATAATGCCAAATCTGGAATAGATCATATGATATTCAGCACTTTCGACAACTCCTCTGGGCATATTCTCAAAAACATGTTTTAAACTTTTTCCAAAAAGAATACCATTTCGGACAACTTACGACCCACGGGTGGGTCGTAAGTTTGACAAAGCGAAAAAAGCACTGGTCCGAAACGGCAGTGATCGAAAATCGTCCTTGTTGTGAATGTGTTAATATTCTTGTAATAATGTCCTTTAGTGATCCATAGTATCGCTCTTAAAAGCTGGTTTCAACTCTGATTTGCAGTCTAGAGCGAAAAACACAGCAGCTCTTCGTTACTGTAGGGATAAAATCTGCAAGATCCCAATGTAAGTGAATTAGGTTCGCTAACTCCTAGTGTATAAGCATTTACCTGAAACTTTGTTCGGATCTACTTCCACGTATCTATACTGAAATGGAATATCCTCAAAGTTTGCAAAAAACCTCGTTAAACTAGCTGAACTGCTTCACCTGTATATAGTCACTTGCTGTAAGCAGTGGCTTGAAAAAATCCACCACAAATGTTCACTCGTTTTGGAAATCCTATGGCATTCACGGAAATTTGCAGAGCATGTATTATGCTCGTTCCTACCTAATCTATATACAGTGACGAAGAGAGATCAAGTCATTCTCTTGATAGAGCTACTGATATAAATCCAAGTTTAAGCCAGCTTACAGAGTGCTATCTAGGAGGAGGAGAAAGACATTACGTACAGAGATATTACGATCAAGTAGTAGGAACATTTTGGGGACACCCTGAACACTATAAGATGCGACCGGATAGACTATTTCTGACATTATTTTTATCGTGGGAATTTATTTCAGCGGTTAGACTGAAGCTGCAAGTTAAACCTAGAAGAAAAAGTCCCGTTCAGTTGCCCTTTAAAAATTTCAAGCTCTTTGAGTTCGCAATGAGTATCATTATTCCCTAAGGAGTTGTGAAACCACACTTGTTCGCTGAAGACTACAAACAATCCACTGCAGAGTTTCAAAGTTCGGTTTTCCAATTTTGTATAGACGTATTCATCCGAATAAAATCGGCTTAGATTTTGAGCCAAGATCTCCACAGAAAGCTTCAAACAAGTTTATATAATGTGAAAATGCTGCACGACATATAAGCTTTGCCCTCACCTACGTTCGTCCCATTTTTTGCGTAGAGCAAAGTAAAAAGTAGACAAGTTTAGGGAAAGTCGGACGAGAAGAATAGGCATATAAGTCAAACTTCTGTGATTATCGGAACGCTGGTGAAATTTTGGCCGAAAACCATGGTTGCGTGACATGAGAACTGTACCATAAGACGCATGTGGGAACGCTGGTTGCGATTCCTCCTTATTTATTTGGGGAACGATTTCAGAAGGATTTGTACAGAATTTTCCCAATAGAACTTGTGCAGGGAATCACAGCAACGTGACAAAGAATGGTGAAGAGATCTGACAGGGCAGGTATGCTTAGAATAAAACTGTGCGTTCATCCAAATCACTGAAAAGTTCAGAAGTTCTTTGTTTAATGATTAAAAGAAGACCATTGAGAATAGCCCGACGAGATATTCCGTTTACTGTTTCCGCAGCTAAGTAAGGAATGGAACTTTAGTGTTTCTAGTGTCTCACCTAAATTACAAAACAGACATTGCAGATCATTTCTGTACATTCCGAAAAGTACCATCAATTTCGGTGGTAAATCGAATTGATACAAAGTGCTCAGGACTGACAAAATTTTTGAGAAAGTTGTTAAAAAAGGATTCCAGCTCTGGGATTCACTATTGGAATATAAAGATATTTTTAGTTAGTCATATTTGAATGCATAAATTAGTCGAACCTGACGCAAGGATGGTCTAGAAATTACATGAGTAAAAACGAGGAAAGTTTCGAAACATTCTTTAGAGCTCTTCACTCAATAGAATTTTAGCATGTAGATAATGTCAAGTAGTGTCGTCTCTAGTACCGAAACTAAGCCATTTGTGCCAATTTTTTTGGAAGATAATTCCTATTAGTTCTACATTTTTATGACAAGTAAATGCTGATCGAAACAGTCTTTCATACTTGTATAGTAAGCAAAGTCATTAGAATTTCCATTACAGTTTCTTCTCAGTCGACTGCTAAGCACTTTAGATTCTTTGCTAAATCTTCTACACGATGTCCTTACTAGCAATCTTTCAGAATTAAGGCCTTCGGCCTTGATAGTACCTCGTGCGCGTCCTCCTGGTAAGTCTAGATGCTGAAATTCTATGTTGAGCAGAAAAAACTTGTATCATCACTAATGATTACTTATATGCATCTTCCTTTACCTCAATCCGCAGCCCAAAGAAGTGAAAATCGCTCAATACAAATATCAACATTAGCAAGGCTGTTGAGCAACATTATGCGCGAACAAATGGTGCCATATCGTAAATCTGAATAATTTAAGCGAACGCAACAGAGCTGACACCCTTCGCAGACACGCGACGTGAGCTGCCAGTTCGTTGTCCACATCAATTGTGGAACTATGCATCTGTTGTATCAAACAATACCATAAGATAACTTGACAAGTCTTCCTTCACTTTCAGACTGGAATCTTGTTCTTAGAAGAATGCGCCGCTAATGTCCTTCCTTTCTATCTGTAATGATGAGTTCTCTATGAACTCTTCGTCACTCTATTTCTGGAAGTTTTCAATGAATGGCGCTGAACAGTGTTTACTGATGACACAAGCTATCATACTTTTACAAGAAAATCTTATGTTCTATCTATATATCTCTATAACTAGTATCAGGCCTTAGATGATAGAAAGTCTTGTATGGAGCCGTGACACTAAAGAAATATAATCACACAGTGAGATATAGCTTTTGTTTCAAAATTTTGGATGCTATAGGATAGAAACTATGCACAACTTTTCCGCGGGTGCGCCGGTATACTCGATGCAAGCTGCACCAAAAGATCTGAACAATTAGTGGCTTTAGGATAATATATGGCCTTTACTGCCACTGGCTCCAATCACACCACGTACAAAAACTAGACAATACATCTCTTGCAAACCATCTGAAAGAGGCTATTCCAGGTTGTTCCTTCAACAGACTATGGGATGTCTGCTTCAAGTCTTATGCAGAAATAGCATCCCCTTAAATAAATTCTTAACATTTTGATAGGTGAAGCTCAACCATCTACCCAGTTCGCATTTGCCTACACCACATTCGCGTCAAACTCCACATCAACAAAGCCAACGTCTCTATTTGCACTCGCTTTCACCTGAACCTAATAGAAAGATTTCAAGGAAGAGAAGAGCAGAAAACCGGGCATCGGTCACCCACAGCAACTGCATGTCTTCTTATGAGAGATACAGATGCTACGGGTAGCCCAAGCCAAGGTCCATGACATAAGAAAGTAATCAGTGGAAGGAATGAATCGATTTGATCCACCTGCGACCCAATGACACTGTGATACTCACTTCAGAGCAGTATAACAGCTACATCGGGTTGCAGGGAAACCAGTAGAATATAGTATACAGAAAGGACTTCCGTCCTCCAGGTCGTACATCATGTGCAATGAACGCTGCAAGGCACTGCACAGTGAGCACGCCTTGAGGACGACGAACAGATGGTCCAAGGGTGAAGAAGTTAGAACTCGCTGCTACCGACGCCGAGTAACAGTCTAGTCATGAGCCGAAGCCAGGACCAGCCAGTCACCCGGTAACGGTAACAGGAGCACTTCCAGTAGTAGGGAATCAATTAGTAGTCGAGTAAGACGAGCAACGTAGACAAGACGCTCAGCTAATATCGATGAAGAACTACCGGCGTCCACCTGGCCAGCATTTTATAGCCCTTGAAAAGGGGCGGGGCAAAAGTTCCCGCGCGCACCTGCGCCGACACTGCTTGAGGCGAAGATTGTGGCCGTGGGAGATGACCCGGGCCGCGATAATTGTATCAGCGGGTAGAGTGTCATTGCAAGACTGGGAAAAAAGGCTAAATGTTTGGAGAGATTCTAAATTAACTCTCAAGATTTCCAAAAATGGCGTGAATACGGTTCGAAATTGATCTACGACGACGCTGCCACCAGATATCGATTGCGCATGCGCAACTGATTTTGGACCTCTTGACATGTTAAGACTGTTAACTTGTTACTTCCGGCGGATTTCGAATCCGATTTGACCAAATGGGGAAAAACAAAGCGGGGTAGAAAATCTGCATGCTTTTAATGGATGTGAAACAATGCATAATGAAATCCTTCAAGAGCGAAGAGAGGGGGGGGGGAAACTCAAGCAAAGAAGGAAGAAAATTGATCAGTTTTGTGAATTGAGCGCTGAATGATCACAATAATGAGATGTAAGCTATATCTATATGAAGAGAGCATGCATCCTAGGAAAATGAAGCACACGTGTAGATTGTTCTGGTGATGTAGTAATTACGATAATGATTATTCGTCATAGTTATCATTTTGATAAAACATATCTGGCTTTCATAATAACTCACATCAGAATGTTTTCCCATATATTAGATGACTGCTCTAAACTGAACTCATTTGGACTAGATTAGGCACTTATCCAGAGATTTTCTCTGCCGCCAACATCATAGTGATTTCATACGCAAACTCCAATAAATCATGACAAATTTGTATTTGCTCATGGCAAGTTATTATTGATACTGATTTTGTAGTAAATTGTCTGCAATAACTCCTTCCCGATATTGTACTCAAAAAAATCACGAACCATTTCGTTAGAATAGCCTGTTCGCCTAATCTTTACCAATGCTAAGCAAAAAACGTCAAAAATTAATAAATCAATAACGTCAGTCGATGATTTTCGGCAGAGAAGCTCAGTGACACTTGCCCCGCACCAAAGTTTATATGTGCAAGTTTCATCCAAACTTCATGATTCCTTGTACCATTTTGGGCCGGTTATAGAAAAAGGCTATAAGGATTATATAGGTGTTGATTGATTTATGCTATAAATATTCCACACAGTTCATGGTCGTGCTCCAGAATGGTGAGACAAATCGTCGACTACGGTTGTTTCATTGACCAACAGTTTACAAAGAAACTGCAACAGCTAAGATTTGCGTCTATAAACTAACTAGGCTGAAAATACTGCTACGAACGACAGGGCTATATTCAAATCTTACTATGATAATCGATAGATAGTCCTGACCCGTGCTCCAGTTGCAAAGCGCCAAAGGCGACAATCAAGCCCCATTCTCCTTTGATTACGGACATGGGCCAATGGCAGTGCTTCAGGCACTTCCCACTCAATCAAATTCTATCCCCAAGCAAATACCGGCGGCTGATGGTGATGAGAAAGTGGATACGTCAGATACTCCACTGTTTGAGGAACTCGAGTACAACGAAAACCCCTAAATGTGCAAACTCACTCATGGCCGCTTTTGTAAGATAGTCCCATACGCTAAAAGCGTTCTTCTGGCGTTTCGATCCTTCGAATCGCAAGGTCTCCGGAGCAGATCTTTCAAGCAGAGCTGATGAAACCGATAACATACCTCACAACAAGACGTTCATCTCTGCACTGCAGTGAAGTCTGATGTGATAGATTTGAACTAACAAGCATAGCTATTTGATCAAACTCAGTTTTTCAATTCATAATCTTGTACGAACATATGCACCTATAATAATGCACGAGAAAATTCTAGCGAACTTGAGTCATTTGGTTCTAATTAGCAAATGAAACATTCGGTATTGGCATACATTAACCGTTTCAAACGTTCCCTTCAACTCCAATGAAAACATTTTTCTCGCATAACAGGACAAAAAAGTATGGGTAAACAATTTATAAGACCCGTAATGATACCATACAGTCCAGTTTTCATGTACAGAAAAAGTCCACCTATAATAAAGCAAAACCCGGCGCTCAGAGCAAATTATGCACAACGGTACAGAATGACTGAAAGTTCGAACATATCACTGGAAAACGAGGTATTTAACATCGTCCACCGGAAAACTGTGACAGCAACTGAAGAGAATATGAGAGTAGGCAAGAAATCAAAGCCGTAATGAAATGCCATGAACATCGCGTTGTAAGAACCATATACGCAATACTGATTACCCGTATTATCAAGATTGAGGTGTGTAAATTAGAATGATTAAGGAAGCAACACTCCTAAAATGAAAGGAACCAAGAAGAAAGGAAAGAGACACGCATGGAGAAAACAACATTTGGAAACCCTGATGAAAACGATAAACTATTTGAAGTGCCTGACTAGAATCTAACTGCGAATATGCCGGTCACAATACTCCTTTCCTTGTGGCATTTGGACCAATGTGGACAGTGGATTTCAGCAAATCCGACAGCTCGGGTATTCTATGAGCAGCGGTACTCAGTGGATATGTGTTAGCTCTGCACAGCGCGTGATCGCGAACATCACCCCAACCTCCGTTCTCCTTTGAAGGTTTGGGAGAACGCCGGGAGACCTGTAAAACGTTTGATAGAGTAAAATAAACGATGGATTGTTCCAATGCATTAGCTAAACTCACATCTGCTACAGTAAGTTGCTCAGGGAATAAGACACCGGCATGCTTCCGCATAACCTCGACGGCAGCAGCGTAGGCATTGTGTGCATTACATCTGGAGCATAGTAGTTTGGAGAGAACTGTGAAATGCATTTTATCTATTCTGACCTATGTGTGTGCACACCGCAGTCACCAATGTGTATGACCCTCGGACTCTTCGTAAAAATCACTCTAAACCGTTCAGAAAGACATTTGACCACCACCTACAATGATAAAAGTAACATCAGAAGAAAGTACTACAGTTAGGCAAACCCACATGCATGAGCGACCAATCCCAGTTGTAGTCGTCGTATTTGCAGAAAAGCTGAAACAAAGCACATAGGAGGACTTTGAGAACCACAAATTAATGCACACATAATAGTCCTCTTAGCTGCCGATAGGTTTTCGACGTTAGGTTACAGGTTCGGTTACCCAAAACTGTCTGACATTTGTATACTCCCTTGGAGTGTATACACACTCTATTATCAGTAAGAATAAAGAAGATACAAGCTAGCATATCCAACCATACGCTTGTCCGGTGATAAAAATATCGTAAAAAAAAATGATCAAAAAAGCAGAAAGCATTGGGATGTTGCAACTCAGAGACAGCTTAGTGACTGCACGCATTTTAACAGGGATTTTTCTGAAGAAAGAAGGAAGATGTCATGATCTTAATGCAAATAAGCCACAACGTTACTGAGAAAAAACACAATTTTTACCTAACAGCTCTGTCCAACAGCAATAGGCGAATGCGCAAGTAGACAAATGAAAATATCGAATCAGAATGATAAAGCTACCTCAGAACAATTTTTGACCTTCATCCAGGTTTCGCGACGAAAAGCCATGCCCATATTGTGCTTTGAACTATACCATGGATGTGCACCAAGTTTTGCAATATGATTTCCATAATTAGTATAAGATTTGAGATAAAAGCCCAAGGAAATGATCTCGCATTTCTCGCAGTAGCTAGAATATGAACACAACATGTAAAGATACCAGAAAATAACCATCGACAGATAGAAAAAGCAATCTTACGTTTTTCTGTTTTGTATAATCTTGTCGAGAACATGTAACGCATCAGGTGCCACAAAGTGATCTTCTTCAAGAAGCAGAACCCAAGGCTCAGTAAGAGCGTAGCGATCGTAAATACCATCAAATACAAAATTCATCTGCAATGATATAAATCGCTCCGGATGATTGCAACCTTACAAACTTCTTCTAGAGAACGCTTTGCTACACAAGAATCACCTGCACACACAAAACTAATCACAAACGACATGATGACTCTACTAGTTAACATTGCTGAATTTAGCGACAAGAACAAAAAATCGAAGGTAAAACAATTCTCCTGATTGTGGAGATGAAAAAAAGAAATGGTCCCTCGTAAAAGGGATTGCAGAATGTAACAATTGACGCAATATGTGTGAAACTGATGTTTTTTGAGACAAAAGATCCGACCTAAGCAGACTGAGACATATCACGAAAAAAAGCAACAACTCTCGTACTCTGAACCAAATACCCTAATTTCACGCGTACAAGGCGCACCTTTTTCGATTTTTCGACTAAGCCCCTCAGCCGCTTCAAATTATTTCGGAAAGCGATCCTTATACCGTACGATTCTCTTAAGCAATATACAGCAAGGCATAGGGTCCTTTGGTTGCGAAGTTCTTTGGCGTATTTGGGCTGGTAAATTTTGGAAAAAAATCCCCCGCGCCTTGTACGCGTGAAATTAGGGTAAATGTTTAAGTATGAGTAAACGTAGCCTATTCCTACTCTCACCAACTAATAATCTTGTATCCATAGTACAATACCGCTCATAATTCGTCAAAAAAGTCGCCGGACTGCGGCGCACTCCGCCAGACTCCGCCACAGTGTGGCGGAGTGTGGCGCACTCTGCCGCACTCCGCCACACTTCACCACACTGTGGCGGAGTGTGGCGGAGTGCGCCGCAGTCCGGCGACTTTTTTGACGAATTATGAGCGGTATTATACAAAGCAATCATGGATATGAAAGATACAAAAGACTGTGACTAACCTTCCACCACCAGTGATGCTTGATTTGAGTAAGTTTTGCAACTCGGTAATTCCCGTATTTGTCTGGATGCTCGTAATTTTGGCAACGCATTGCCTCAGCGCTGAAGTGTAAACATTGAAAACTCAAAATTATGTAGTAGCAATACTCACGCTGTCTTCCCGATCCTTTCAGGACAGTCTCTGAAATCTTGTCCTGGGAATATATGGGGGAACAGCTGCGTATTATATGGATAATATATTTGGATCACCTGAAAGTCAAGGCAGAGTTGATAATAAATGATAGGCAAAAGTGGACGGTTGCTCAGTTGCCAAAAAACTAATAAGATACAATTCTCTACGTGCGTTTAGATATGCTATGGCAAAAAGCTTGGCAAAACAGCGAATTCGCCATAGTTGCGCACCCCAAGGGAGTCATAGGTTGCCGATAACTGTGGCCAAGGTTGCCGGATTTGCTGGATAGCCGGTGTTGCCCGGTAGCAGGTGTTGCCAGGGTTGCCGGCTTTTCTAGACACGCAAGCGCCATTCGCGTCTGCTAACACCTTCGAATATAAGCGGACTCCATATTGCGTAATTTCACCTTATTCAAGGCATTATTCTCATGTTCCTTGTTGGTAGCTCTGTCGGCAACCTCGGAGGAAGGGAGGGGGTCACCCAAACAATAACTGTCGGCGACCTGTGGCCGATCCCCAAGTCTCCACAGAAAACTAACAAAGTTTCCTGACGCGGGTAGCACAAAATTGGTGTGCTAGTAGTGATCATAATTACCGGAAAGGTTCAAAGCATGCGGAAGTGTTCCCTTTTCCAACCGTACCACTCAAACAGAAGCTTTTCGCTTCTACAGAGAACAAATATGAGCGTCCTCACCTATACGAATAAGAAGAAATGCATGAGTCAAAAGTAGGCTTACCCGAGCAAAAGTAATATTCCTGACCATCTCATTGATTACAGCAACATTAATATCATGACTAAACACGAGTAGAGCGTCCTGTATGCCTTTCGCACTTCGCAAAGATTCAATAAGGTATCCAAGATAGTTGGATCGATTGTGCACCTGTGTTGAAAAAACCATTATGCTTTTATTAGGAGTAATCGGAGGGGGAGGGAGGTGCTAAGTATATAGCTTACCTGGATCACAATGACGAGTTTGACGCCTTCAACAGGACCGAATCTACCAAGATTCAGGATTTCAAAGTTCTCGTTCAAAAAATTAACCGAAGTTACTATATCTTGACCAGAAATAGTGAAGTTAGCACCTGTAGCTGAAAGGAGTAATTCTATATTTGCTCTTGTAGGCTGATGATGATAACACTAACTTTGAAAATGCCATAGTGAGATATCTTGGTCGGCTTCATAATCCGGAATGGTTTCGTTAACCAACTCCGCTTCTATCTCTTTCATCACTTGAGTATGGACATCAGGAACTGAAGGGAATGATGGCGACTCTCTCATGATAAATTCTGGGGACGGTCCTTTCATGATCACAAATATGAAACCGATCTGAAAAATAAAACTCAAGAAGAAATATACGTCATTCAATGCCAAATTACTTACCAAACATATCGAAATCACAATGTTGAGGAATCTGTATCCACGGCGAAGAAGCATTTTGCCGTATTGCAAAAATGCAACGATTTTGGGACCCAGTTTTCAGGCTAATATCCAAACTGAGTGATTTGCCTCAAAAATAAATTCATAATATAAGCTAGTTCTGCTGGAAGCAGTTCATATACAGAGCGACAGACGAGAATTTCCAAAGTGACGCGCACGACGTCGCACAGAGCGCGGCGGCAAGGAACGCGGCCAAAAAAGTAATGGAGATTCTTATTCGCTAATCTCAACGAGCTCAGACACAAACAAGCACATAAAAATCTCCTTGACAACAATGATCCTCGAAGTCCGCCGCAATACTGTGAGATTTGGAAGTATGAGAAGAACAATGCATGACATGAATAACAATGCTCTGTATCAGACAGTGCTAATAACTGGTTTACACAGAGTGCCCTAACTGGAGAGTACGAAAATTGATCAGACAGGAACGGAAGTTGGGCTCTTGAATTAGAAAACACCTACACATGGTCGAATCATCTTGAAAACAACGAGGAAGGAGTGCGACGCGAAATTGATACTCACGTTCGCTTGAACGGGATAATTGCTAATGCGGTTGCGCTTTCTTCTCGCCAGCATTACCATTTTATTTGGTTCATTTCACATGATTATCAAGTTATTCTACATTGTATTGTTCGACTGTTTTTTCCTCTCTGATATGGCGCGGCTTTGAACTGAAATCAACCATTATATAAAAGCGGCACGAGCCAAATATGATAACAGCTCAAAAATTTAGTTTTAATTTATTGTCCGCTCCACAATTGCTGCAACCCTTACTCTGCGTCTCTGACCTGCGGCAAGCATAGCTAGCATATTGGCAACACGCAACAACATGTTGACAACATGCAACAACTCGTTGGCAAAACGTTTTGTTAGTATGAGCGCCAACATGTTGTTGCTTGTTGCCAAACAAACAGATTGAAACGCGCTTTAGCACGCTTAACACATTTAAACTTGATTCGGGAAGAATAAGCAAGTGCAAACTTGTTAGGATTGAATGAGATCAGCTTTGTCGGGTGTCAGTAACTATGAAAATTTGATTATTTTGGGATTTGGACGAAAATAAAATGTACGGACTTTAACTGCTCTCACTTTCATCTACATATACTTACTAGAAATCTTTGAAAAAACTCTGAAAAACTTGCTTTGAGAACATCTAGGCGATAATTCCTGAAAAACCTTACTTCACTTGAAGTGGCTGTGAGAAATATTCTTAAAAAGATGAAGCTATTTTATTCTGAATACAAAATTTTGCTTACGACCTTATTTTCTTTTCTTGAAAATTCAAAAATTACATTGAGCTATTAAATATTACAACCGTACATGTAGAACGTTTAATTTGTAATCTGCAAGCTTGGAAATCTTTCATGGAGTTTTAGAATTTTTGGAAATTCTCTGAAACGGATCATGGCAATGAGGTGCTTCCTACCGTAGTCCCATGCTGATGAAGGGATTGGTAATTCGTTTTAGCTGAAATCTAAGTTGAAGTCAGTCCTTTGATAGTTATATGCGCTCTGCGAAGCCCGCTGGGCTATAATTATCAATGAGCACAGTGGGTAGATGTTTGGCGCAAATTCTGTGTTGGACGTCCAATAAGTGCGCTCAATACTATACATTTTCCAAACAGTAAAGTGCAATTGCCTGTCTTTTTTTATTTATTTGGATTCAATACTACAATGGCATAACAAACTGAGCAAACATGTATTTATTTTAATTTTATTTTAACTATAAAGTCGACATCCAACTGACTCTAGACTAGGAAAATAATAATTTCAGCGGTCGACCAAAATCTTATACGTCTTTCGAAACCATACACCCTGTTTGGGGGCCAGCGAGCCCGCCTGCAAAGGCTAGCTGGCCGTAACCCAGAGAGAAAAATAAAGGTTTCAGAGGTTTTCGAAAGGACAATAAGACATAAAAGGAGGGAAAAGTACAATAAAAACCCTCGGAAGAGGGGGATGATCAGCAAGAAAAAAGTAGTAGAAGCTAATGTTAAATTTTTCTTTCATTTCATAGAGAGATATTTTATTTATTTACTTGTTTATTTACTGCACAAAAAGCGCGCCATCGACTAGACAGAAAGTCTAGGTAGTCATCACGGATAAAAAAGAACTCGGATAAAACCATCATTTAAAAAAATCGAGGATGAGGATCAAAGACCAAGCCTCCGCATCTTTATCGTTTTTATTACTTTGCTAAATCACTAAATCTTTTGCTACATTGATGTCATTTGCACAATCCGCAAGATTATGGGTTGCTTCTCACAAAAAATTGGGTCATCCACAATAAAACATAGATAATAGAGCGCAGAATGAAATGACTGGACGAAAGTTGATATAGAGACGGATGAGTCCTACAAAAAATTGTTTACGCGGAGGATTGATGTCAAGAGTTCGTTTTGATTTTAGGGTAGAAGAACATTTCAAAACTGCAATGAATGATACGTTATGATCACTTTATCTTGTTGCTGAATGAAAACATCACGCTGAAAATGTTCGAATGTAAAACAATGTCCGCAAGGTTGGACGAGAATTAATGCATGCTTTTCTCGCTTCATTGACATTCGTTTCTTGGAAGGTTGCTTTCTAAAGGACTACTTCGAATCCAAGACACTTCTCTCAGTGTTTCTCACACATCAGTTCATTCAAATAAACAGTAAAATTTCAGTTTCAATAAATTATTTTTCACTATCTTTTGAAAAACGCACTTGATCTTGCGTATTTCCGTGGGAAAGATTTGTAGACACCTTACATTTCTTTCCTAATCCCCATAAAGCAAGCAATTTACGAATATAGCATTCTCTGAAGGACGCGAGCACTAAAACATTGAATAAAATGCAAATGGAAACGTCTGATGAGATTTCGGCCACATGAAATACACCCGCCTCAGACTGTACCATATAAATCTACCAAAAAAGCAAAGCCAGCATTGAGTGAATCGAGACTTGAAAAATATCTGGATTCCATTTGCCCCATGATCTTCCAAAAATATGCAAAGCGATTTGTAAAGAAATTTCCATGAAGACGCCAAAAACAGAAAAGACACATTCATTTTCGTAAGGAAAAATCTAGTGCGCTACCATGACTGATTGCCTTTTTATTGTAAAAAAAGCTATCAACGAACTGAGAGGCCAGAAGCTTTGTTAGAAGTGTAAACCAATTGGAAAAATAATAACTCATTTGCAGTAATAAATGGTGAGGCGAAGTATGCGTTATTCTAACAGGCATTGTCGATGGGATTAATTTGCTGACAAGGGAAGGATAGCACCATAATCTGGCAAAAGGGGGAGATCATCATTAGACGCATTTTTAAACGCTGATTTCAAATCTGCTTTCCGCTTCTGCGAAACAACTCTCCGAAAGAAGTTATGAGCGTCTGAAAGTCTAAATTTGTCATGAGAGAGCGGAAGCTGCATTTGCTGATATACATCTCTTTTCGGTTTGCCAGATTATGTTGGTATCCATCCCCTTATGAGCATGAAAGCCTTGAAAATTATAAAATGTCAAGGTAAAGAATGGGTCAACATGCACAAATTCGATATGAGACTTGCAAACCAAAAAACTGAAAGGGCTTTCGCTCGAATTTCCAAGCTCATTTGAAATTATGACCGCAAGGACCCATATCGTGGCTTGCAGAACAATTTCGATATGGAAGGAGGTGGATAATTGCAATGGCGTAAAAACTAAGAAAATTGAGAACCGTGGACTAAGAATCAGAAATAAAAGCACAAACTGGCATATTTTATATCGAGTATGGGAAACGCGAATTCACATGAGTATTTGCTTTGCCTTTTGCCCAAGAATTGAAGAGCGAAGAAACGACAAATGCTCGAAAGACATTATTCGTATCTACTGATCAAAATTACTGCACAAGCCAGTTTAAAATATTTTGAAGTCTCGCAATTATGTGGCTCGGAATTTTTGCATGATTAGTCTTCCAGAAATTGCTGGTATAAGAGTGACAATTACAGTTGTACTATAACTTTCTAATCTAGCTCTAATCAAGCTAGCTTCATCGAAATATAGGTGATTTAGCGAAGGTGAGTAAGTTTGTCATTTTGAGCAGTATGTTTGGCATAGGACTGCAGCAAGACAAAATTTCTAAAATTCCTTCCATTTTGAATTAGATCCCCTATTCATGTTAGTTGCGAGCATGGAACGATGGGAAAAAGAGATTATTCTCATGTAACACACTTAGTGGCTACGATTATACTGATATTTGTTTTGTCATCTCACAGTTCTCAAGAATGTCTGAAAAGAGGGCTTGTAAGATTTGATTTTTATCTAAAACGAGCGAAAAAAGTACGAAATTAAGTTTGCAGATACAATACCACCCGTAATTTGTGAAAAAAAATGGCGGCGGCACTTAACTTACGCGGCGCCGCCGAAGTTAGGTGACTTTTGCCGCGTCGCGCGACAAAAGTCGGCGGAAAAGCGGCCAAAGTCACCTAACTTTGTCGCGCAACGCCTAACTTTTTATAAAAAAAGACGTTATCTTGTTTCAAAATTTATGAATTCTATATATAAGAGTACCATTCAACTCAGCTCGGCGAGGCGCATCTTCCAATATACCGGATGTGCCTAGTTGTGGGATATAAGTTTCTTTCCTGGAATTTTAGTGTAAATGGACCATTCAGTGTGCTTATTCCAGAGGCTACGTACACATTCTATTGAGCATAGCAGAAATAGGGCAGGTATAGTTTAAGAGCTCATTCTGCATGGATATATGTGAAACTGGGCAGCTCATTCTGCATGGATATGTGTGAAAGTGGGCTTTTCTCGGCGAAGTATGACGGGTCCCAAAATGCAGGAAGACAAAGGGAAATGGTTGGAAATCGCATGAGGAGCACATATCGCGGAATTCCGCGCGTGCTGTGCAATGTACAATACCACTCACAGAACGGGAATTGCGCGAAATTCCAGAAATTTCGCGATTCCGGATTATCGCAAATTATGCAGCGCCATAACTTCCTTCGGAATCAATATATTCTAAATTCGAAAGCAGCACTGTGTTCATCTCGTCAAGGCGAATCTTTCTACATACGTCATGTCATCTATATCTTGTTTTCAGTTTTCTCAAATTGTTCTGAGGAGGTCCCTTAGCAAGTATGTAACGCAGCGCCTATCCAACTTGAAAGCTTCCAGTAAGCACCATTCGATAGTGCTCTTCTTGTGCATTATAGTGCGCTAGTAAGCTGCCGCAGACTTCTTTTCAAAAGAGAAAAAAGCGTTGGTAAATTCTGGAAAAATCACTCGTTTCCAGATTCTACTCGCCGTAACTTTCTTTGGAGTGGATATTTTCTGAATCCGAAAAATGCATTGTGCTCAGCTCATCAAGGCAAATCTTTCGGTATGCAGAATGTCCTTGATATCTCGATTTCAGTATTCTCAAAACTTTCTGCGGACGTCTCTTCGCAAAGGTGTGAAGCAGCGCGTATTGCCCCCAGTACATTCAGAAAGAAATTTTCAATAGTACTTCTTTTGTAGATTATGGAGCGCTAGAAAGTAACCGCACACTCCTTTTCAAAGGAGTTAGAAGGGCTGGTGAATTCTGGAAAAATCATGTCCTTCTAAATTTTTCTCAACGTAACTCTAAAATATGAAGCTCTCTTGCTAAGCAGATGTGATTTTCGTAACCAGCAGGTCGGATAACCCTTAAGTGCAAGTTTTCCAAGATGTTCAAGTAATTTCATTTTTTCTCGTTTTACGCTCTGAAGCTGGCCGATGGATTTTGGTCAAAATGTTCATGCTCTTAAATTGTAAGGAAACTTCGCTTATAGAGGTTTTCGAACACGCTCTTTACGAAAATCGTGGTCTTTGAGGATTACAGGGTCTTTTTGGTGAGATACGGTGAGGTGACTGTAACTGCACCACGAAAGTGCGTAAATTGGCCCGCACTTCTCGCGTATCTGTCGGCAACCTTGCCTGCTTGCTTTTCTCAGTCAAAGTTACTAGGAACTGCGCTACCGAATGGTGCATGAATCAGGCTCCAGTCTGTAAAAATCACCGAGTTACGAGCCTATGAAAACACGTCCTCATGAATTTTGCCCAAAATCTAAAGATCGCAAATCTCGTCGAAATTCCACCGTGAGCGCTTGTATGACACTCGCATTGCGGATATTGTGTTCCCTTCGCCCAAAAACTCCCACTGTATTGAATATGGTACTTGCATATGCTTCAGCTGCTCAGTTGAATATCAGAGCTATTTCAGTGGCTAGAACTCAAACTACTAAATCTAACACAATAAGATCCATTAAGGACGCGAAAGATTTTGATCAGCGTGTTGTACAAGCGCTCACGGTGGAATTTCGACGAGATTTGCGATCTTTAGATTTTGGGCAAAATTCATGAGGACGTGTTTTCATAGGCTCGTAACTCGGTGATTTTTACAGACTGGAGCCTGATTCATGCACCATTCGGTAGCGCAGTTCCTAGTAACTTTGACTGAGAAAAGCAAGCAGGCAAGGTTGCTGACAGATACGCGAGAAGTGCGGGCCAATTTACGCACTTTCGTGGTGCAGTTACAGTCACCTCACCGTATCTCACCAAAAAGACCCTGTAATCCTCAAAGACCACGATTTTCGTAAAGAGCGTGTTCGAAAACCTCTATAAGCGAAGTTTCCTTACAATTTAAGAGCATGAACATTTTGACCAAAATCCATCGGCCAGCTTCAGAGCGTAAAACGAGAAAAAATGAAATTACTTGAACATCTTGGAAAACTTGCACTTAAGGGTTATCCGACCTGCTGGTTACGAAAATCACATCTGCTTAGCAAGAGAGCTTCATATTTTAGAGTTACGTTGAGAAAAATTTAGAAGGACATGATTTTTCCAGAATTCACCAGCCCTTCTAACTCCTTTGAAAAGGAGTGTGCGGTTACTTTCTAGCGCTCCATAATCTACAAAAGAAGTACTATTGAAAATTTCTTTCTGAATGTACTGGGGGCAATACGCGCTGCTTCACACCTTTGCGAAGAGACGTCCGCAGAAAGTTTTGAGAATACTGAAATCGAGATATCAAGGACATTCTGCATACCGAAAGATTTGCCTTGATGAGCTGAGCACAATGCATTTTTCGGATTCAGAAAATATCCACTCCAAAGAAAGTTACGGCGAGTAGAATCTGGAAACGAGTGATTTTTCCAGAATTTACCAACGCTTTTTTCTCTTTTGAAAAGAAGTCTGCGGCAGCTTACTAGCGCACTATAATGCACAAGAAGAGCACTATCGAATGGTGCTTACTGGAAGCTTTCAAGTTGGATAGGCGCTGCGTTACATACTTGCTAAGGGACCTCCTCAGAACAATTTGAGAAAACTGAAAACAAGATATAGATGACATGACGTATGTAGAAAGATTCGCCTTGACGAGATGAACACAGTGCTGCTTTCGAATTTAGAATATATTGATTCCGAAGGAAGTTATGGCGCTGCATAATTTGCGATAATCCGGAATCGCGAAATTTCTGGAATTTCGCGCAATTCCCGTTCTGTGAGTGGTATTGTACATTGCACAGCACGCGCGGAATTCCGCGATATGTGCTCCTCATGCGATTTCCAACCATTTCCCTTTGTCTTCCTGCATTTTGGGACCCGTCATACTTCGCCGAGAAAAGCCCACTTTCACACATATCCATGCAGAATGAGCTGCCCAGTTTCACATATATCCATGCAGAATGAGCTCTTAAACTATACCTGCCCTATTTCTGCTATGCTCAATAGAATGTGTACGTAGCCTCTGGAATAAGCACACTGAATGGTCCATTTACACTAAAATTCCAGGAAAGAAACTTATATCCCACAACTAGGCACATCCGGTATATTGGAAGATGCGCCTCGCCGAGCTGAGTTGAATGGTACTCTTATATATAGAATTCATAAATTTTGAAACAAGATAACGTCTTTTTTTATAAAAAGTTAGGCGTTGCGCGACAAAGTTAGGTGACTTTGGCCGCTTTTCCGCCGACTTTTGTCGCGCGACGCGGCAAAAGTCACCTAACTTCGGCGGCGCCGCGTAAGTTAAGTGCCGCCGCCATTTTTTTTCACAAATTACGGGTGGTATTGTAGCTAATAAACACAGAAGCAGTGTTTGTCGTACTACAGAGAGAGTGAGAGGGGTTCAGTGAAAAGCAGATACGACTGTTTTTTTATCTCTATCGAGTTTCAGCGGAGTGAATGAGGACGTAACGAGGTTGTGAGCGCAACTAGCAATAAATCGTTAATGAAACACGTAGAGCGAATTACAGAGGTATAGATTAATTTCAGGAGATCAAAAACGCGGAAGTTATCAAAATTAACTGGGTCGGTAGTAAACCTATCGAAACTCAGAGTTATAACTCAGAGTGAGTGAGTGAACTGACTGATCATTTTTTGACTGATCATAACTCCCTCCTAAACGTGTTCAAATAAAGAAGTGCGAAAAAGAAAAAATAAAATCCAGTCAACTTTCCCAACAATTTTTCGTAGGCCTCAAAATCCCAAAACATGGAGTTTCTCGATTTTCTGCGTATTGACCGCTAAACATCTTGCAAAAACTGTCAACAGGAGGCTCACCTTTACGCTTACAGAAATGAGCGAAGTTTGGCGATTGCCTTCTCCAAAGAAAATTTATGGGAATTTACAAATTTCGAACGAATGAGGCTGGAAGCCCTTTTTAACACCATTGGATAGAGCATGAAAAGAGTTTTTTAGAAGTGTGCTAATTTTTTTCAAAAGAAGAATGATGGAAAAAAGCCGTCTAAAACAAGGGAAAGAAAAACGAGCATTGCTTTTGCACAGACCTGATACTTGTGGGGTGCTAGGTAACAAAGGTCCAACAACGGTGTTTCTTCAGATCTTCTGTTCGAACAATATATATCAATGTATATTATTGCCTTTTATCTTCGGAGTTAAGTTGCAAACGTTCTGTCAATTATTTGTTTCTCTCATAAGAAATTCAATATGGTAAGTGAATGGCTCGAATGAAAGAGTGACTTGCTATCAGCTCACATAAAAACTGACTAACGTATAGAAAAAAAATGGATCTTAGCGTCATGTGGATTGATTTTTACTCTTTGAAGCTAATCTTGCTCTAGCTATATACTCCAGCAATTTTTACTCTTATATACAAGCGATTTTAGTCCGGCCCTTTTATAGAATTCACATTGCTAAGCTGCTGAGGCATCGCTATGTGCTCTAATGGCTTCACAATATCTATCTCTAATCTTTTTTTTTCTAAGCTCAAATGCAAAGAACTTGAATTTTCTTTGGTCATATAAGTAGCCTAAACGATTCCTTGCATTTCAAATACAGAGGAGTGTATTGAGCCAGGAGTTGTTAATTGATGGAAAGAAATACGAGTTTAGTAGTGGCGAGTGAAGCAGTTACAAACACTTGCCCCTAATCCTTTAGGCCGATCAATAGCTCCTCAACTATGCGGCGCCATTGCAAAAACTATGAAAGCGATACTACTCGTCATCAGCTGGATCTTCTTCTGATGAGATGCAGGATATTCTAGGATATCCCGGTTTTTGTCGTTATGTGCTTAGAAAATGCAATTGCGGATATGTCCGTTATGATGGTAAACATAATTTTCATCGGAACTATCTCATTCTTGAAAAAAAAAGGCTCGCAAAATTTTCTGGGATTGTTTTGGAAGAATAGAGAGCTGCTACTGAATCGCAACAACATATCATGCTAATTTCGGATTTTTATGAAGAGAAGTGAAGTTTCAATGATGGAAATGATAAATTCGATAAAAATTGTAATAATCTCCTTATAAAAATACTTACAATTTGATAAGGATGGTAGACGTAAATTTTCTCGAAAACTTATGATTTGGAAAATATCAAGACCCAAAAGCGTAGCTTTTGCATTCAATTGGAAATATGCCAAGGCTTCAATCAAAAAAGGCCAGAGCATGCTGAGTGTTAGCGTGATTCAAGTTCAACAATTCTGGCATCAAAAGAGCCAAATAGTCATCCATTCCCTAGAGATTTTTTGCTTTCTCACAAAAAAATTGCAAGAATGAATTTTTTAATATGAGCGATTGCATGGCTAGAAAAAAAATAGATATGTTTCTAGTAGAATGTTGGGAGAATGTAATAGCTTTTGGTTACTACAAATGCTCAAGTCTATTTTTTTACAAGTCGAAAACAGAAAGGAAAATTATTAGACTAGATGGACCACGACAAATTCAACGTCTAGAAGAGTATATTGGGTTTTTGCACAAGTCAGCGGTGTCTTGTTGACCAATGCTCTTTCCAAGGAGTTATCTGATAAATTCTAACGACTATGGTCTTAATAAAGCAATGCGCTTAGAGTGCAAGCCATACACTACTTTCTGCTCTGCGCCAGACATAAAATTCTTATACAAGCAATCCTAGTTTTATTGTCATGAGAACTTTGTACCAAATGGATTGACCTTGCAAGAGCGAAGTAGTAAGTGCCCGAAATTACATTAATCTGAGAGCTGCTCAATAAAAGAATGGAATGTTTAAAGTTATTTTTATGAAAGGCTGATTAGAACGCAATTTGCAAAGTACAATCATATTTTGTTTTGAAATTGGCACAAAATTGCTTTAAATATTTTGGTCGAGAACATATTCGAATATTGCCAGATCGAAAATCTTTTCGCATTTTTTTCGAAATGTAGGTGCAGCGCTCTTAGCATATTTTGTGAGGGATGAGCCTCTAATCATAAAATCTTTTGTTTCGTTCCTTGATCCTGGCACATGAATGATGAAAAACCGTGCAAAACTCGAGTTAGTAAATGGATAGAATGGAGAGTAAAAATTAGTAGCGCAACATCAACACTCAAATATTACTAGCTGAAAATATTAACGAAATTTGTCGCCATTTTCTCATAGTCATAGAGTGATAATAGCAACAATGACACGACTGAAGCTGCGTCACTTATCAGTAGCTGTCCGCCGTTTACAAAAACTGCAGGTCTCGAAGATACTAAACGGGTTTTATAGCTTGAAAACGTAAGAATATAAAAACCTGAATTTTGTTTTTTCTTGTTATGTCGAGTAAGCATGAACTAATTTCAGCGAGGAAGATCAGCCAGTTCTCGGAAGCAGTAATACTTTAACTGTATTCAGCAGTTTATTTGAGGAGACACCGCTTCACAACCATCGCTGGGATATGAACTCCACGAAAATATGCATATTATCCTACTGCGCATTTTTTGAACTTAAGTATATGGTCAAGCATTCAAAAAACCCTTCTTCCAGGAAGCCATGGCATTGTGAATTGGAACCATGCAAAAACTTAATTTTGCGCCAATCTCATATTCACCACAACGCCCCCATTGCTATTTATCTCGACGAAGATCGAAGCATCTGCAAAAAAGCGGATTTTCTGAGGAGATTGTGCCAATCTGTGAAGCGAGATTCTCATGAGAAATGATAAAAAGACACTTTTTTGACAGAATCTTTGCAAAGTTTCCTGTATCAGCAGTAATGAAGGCAACTGAATGTGTTCCTTGCGGGATCATAGACATTTAGCGACAAAAATGACGGAACTAATAAATCAGCTGTGATTAGCAGTATCTTACCCATAGTTCCGGAGAAACGGCCGAAGCATAACGGTTAAATCGCAGTGCGGAAGTTTATGCTAATTTTTTTCAGTGGTTTAAAATTCTACATTCTTATGTAAACATATCTCTCAGGTTCATGTGCATTTCAATAAACAAAGACTCAAAATCTGGCTAAAAAATATAGTCTCTGCTCACAAAAGACCGTAAGCGACTGCAGACTGGCATAGACAGCTTGCGCTGTGACATAATTAAAAAGGAAAAAATATTGGCATGAAGAAAAAAAAACAGAACGGATACTAAAAAATAACCGTAAAATGTCCGATTTATACGAAAATGGAGGAAATTTCGTACTAAAAATGGTTTTGTATACGTGCAGTGCATAGCGATGTACACACAACTGTTCGAGACTATTTGAAGAGGGAAATACGATCTCATTCCACAATGAGAGATGTCCTTTTTGAGCGATGTATTGAAATTTGTAAAAGCCTGTGTACACCATTATGATTGTA